AGAAGAAGGAAAAGCAGGATATTTCAAGCAGCTAATGTAATAACCTGAGATCTGAAGACCTTCTGGAATGTTCCATCTTCTTTGGTCCATGCTGGGTCTGGCAGTTGGTGGTACTTTAAGAGGTAGGTAGCTGTGTCAGACTTTTCAGGGCCAAGGGCAGGACCCTCATGCAAAGATGATGTCCCCTCTAGCCCCTCCCTACACCTTCAGCTGTGTAGGAGAGACTGAATTACCTGGAAGTTTCCTAGCTGATCTACTTTCCCAGATGCCTCACTTCAACTGGTAGAGCAGGTTTTTCCACTCTAGCTGGTATCGGGCATACAGAAGAACACTTAATGTCATGTTTGCCAAAGGAGTTTGTCTACCTGCTAGTAGCTCTGGCCTAGCACCTTTGAAACCCTCCAAGCCTTTCTAACATGCCTACTGCACCTCAGGGGAGCTCCCCTCTGACATTCTCACGAGACTGAAGCATGACACGCCTTCCTGGCTCTCATTTATGCCTCAAAGACACTTGCTGAGCACACAGACCACCTGCCATGATGCCGAAGTTGGGCCTGTGTTTGCACGCACATGAGCTTTGAAACCTCTCTAAACACCTACAAGTCGAAATAGGTAGGGGCTGTACAAAGACATCCAAAGCACACACATAGAAGCTGTAAAAATACCATTTCCAAAGACCTCTGGAATTTGAATAATGTGATCAGCTAAAGTGTGAGGTGTTTTTTTTTTTCAAAACCACTCATGCACGCATAAAGAACTCAGTTATTTTATAACATGTTGTATTCTAGGGACTTTTCAAAGATGGGAAAGCTGCCCCTGTAGAATTTGAGTATTTGTTTCCCTTCTAGAAGCCAACTTTCTTGGCCAGAGTTGCAAAATAGGTCTGAAACAGTCTTCCCTGCCACAGGGCTACTAGATGCAGTTGCAGGGAGGGGACTGAGCTGTTAAGACGCTCCCTGCTCTCTGAATGTCTTGGGTGGGGGCAGGAAGGAACAGCCTACCTCTGAGGGCACCTCCAAACCCAGATTTGAACCCTGAAGTGGGCTCAGCTGCAGGTGAATTGATTCTGGTTTCGTTTATTCCAAAAGGACAGTAAGGGGAAACAGTGCAACAGAGCAGTGACGCACATTTCACCTTGGGTGAGTCTCAGCTATGTGGGCTTGTTCCTAATCATGAAACTTAAGCACTTAAAGAAACAGTGGTTGAAAAAAACAAGAGCAAAACTTGGGGGATTGTAGCTTGGCAGTAGAGCACCCGCCTAGCATAGACAAGACCCTGGGTTTGTTCCCAAGCACGGACAACACAGACAAACGACTGTGTACTCTTCTGGTTTTCAAAAGTAACAGAGAGCAAAGCAAAAAGTGGGGTGTTCATTGTAGAAAACCAAGACTACAGATCAGCAAAGTGCAGTGTCTGCCATCCCAACTCAAACACTACCCTTTGACTTCCCTACCCAGCCCCCGGCCGTGGTCTTGGTGTATACAGACGGCCCCTGACTTATATAGTTTTCACTTATGATCTTGTGATTTCAAATGCAACAGTATATATATGCATACAGGTTTTCTGTTTATACTTACAGTATAGCAGTCAATCAAATGCATGAGTCCTTTGACACTTTATTATAAAATAGGCTGTGTGTTAGGTGATTGGCCCATCTTGGGAGAGTGCAGGTGTTCTGAGTGCAGGGAAAACCATATTGATTGAGTGAGTGAGGCAGGCATGATGCTTCCTTGGATTAGGACATGTGTTCAACAATGAACCTCTCTGTAGTTAGTGGAAACTGTGTTAGTCTGTCTGGCTTCCTGCAATTCCTTACGTTATTCAAACAGGGATTGGAAGAGGCTGTTGGGGGCAGAAAGATCTTCTGAGCCCCTGATCACAGCAATCAGGGAGAAAGGACCTACTGAGGACCAGTATAAAGCTTAGGCACAACCCTTCAAAGGAAGAACAGCCATTTGACCTCTGGGTATATATTAATGTTTTCCAGGTACATGTTCTATCACAAGCACATGGGTGGGGCTGGTTCCAGGTCTGTACAGTGCCCATCTTGCCCAAATCCCTGGAAACGACAATGAATGATGGGGTCTTTAAGAGAACCAAGTGCACCATACCAGTCTTGCCATTTAGCAGCACATGTGTGTGTGTGTGTGCGCGTGCGTGTGTGTGCATGTGTGCATGTGTGCATGTGGGTGTCAAAGGACAACTCCTGGTTCTCTCCTTCTCTCATATGGTGTCCAAGGGATCAACCCAGACTGTCACCTTTAGCTGTGTAATGTACATTAGACTGGCAAGTTGCCCTGTGTTGTTTGAGCTTACTGAGAAGTTGGCTCTGGAAGCACTTGCATATCGGAACTGAGAGTGCTTGCCTTAAGATACCTTATCGGACCGAAGAATGTTGATCTGAAGGTTCAGATTCTTCAAGGTCCTTCAAGGTTCCTGTGTGGTGATAGGCTGCCAGCCCCCTAACTGTGAGAAAGGGAAGAGAAAAGCAAAACAACCCCGACAACAGCTAGAAGGGGAGCAATTTCCAGCGGGTATTATTGCTTATCTCAGGATATACGAGTGCCTGCCATGGGACAGAGAACTCCGGGTGACTGCTTCAGTTTCCTCAGTCAGGGTCTGCTGGATGTCATGAATGCCTGGCTTGGTGATGCTGTCTCTCTGTTGTTATTTGGTTTTAAACCTACAAGCCCCTCTTGAGGGGACACCCAGACTCTCTGCCCAGACTCTTTCTATTGGGAACTCCAGCTGACTACCTTAGAGGGGGTTCCTGGTTGATTTTGAGATTTGATGATATTTTGCTATCATCTATCTATCTGTCTATCTATCTATCTATCTATCCTGTTTATCATTGATCTATCATCTATAAGTGACCTATCTTTCATCTATCTATCATCAATCTATTATATAATTTATCTATCTACTTATCTATTGATCTATCTATCTATCTATCATCTATGTATCTACCTACCTACCTGTTTGCTACTTGCTATTTGTTCTTTTACTTGGGCTTGCTGTATACTTAATAAACCACTCATTCAAAACTGAAAATATGACTATCAAAGATCACTCTCCAAACTGTACACAACAGCTGACAAACATCTTTACCCCTGATCTCTAGGGGCTAGAGTCTCCATGTTATGAAGGGCCCCAAGGAACACATGCACATAATTCCAGAAGTGCTGCCCTTTGAGGCTCTGTGGCTGTTTCTCAACCCCAGCTGCATATGAAAAGCATGAAGGATCCTCTGTAACCAGCCCATACTTGGCCCCTCACATAAGTAAGATAGTCCTGTGGGTCTGGATAGTGTCTGGCTATTGATAGTTTGAGAAGCTCCTTGGTGGTTCTGTCAGCAAGGGTGGAGAAGCACACATTGAGATCACCAAGTCTTGACCTGGAAAGGGATGGGCAGAGTCCTCCTCGGAGCTTTATCAGGCGCCGTAGCCATTTGCCCAGAAAGCTCCTATTGAACAAATGCTCCTGCTCTCACACCTATTCCAATCTTCGTCCTCAGGATGGCTAAAAGATGGGATGGTGGAGCTGAAGTACACTAGAGAGGAAGAGACAACGCCCCAGGAGAGGAGAGCGTGGAATACTCCTTTACACTGGGTGAACTTATGTCACTGTGATTGGTTTAATAAAGAAGCTGACTGGCCCAATACTGGACAGAATATGGTCAGGCAGATGAGCCAAACTGGGAATGATGGTTGGAAGAAGGGTGGAGTCTGGAGTCACCAGCAGACACAGAGAGAAGTAGGACTGACATGCCTTACAGAGAAGAGGTATCAAGCCACATGGCAAAGGGTGGATAAGAAATGTGGGTTCTTTTTTGTCTAGGAAAACCAATATATATGGGTTAACTTAAATGTAAGAGTTAGCTAGTAACGAGCCTGAGCTATTGGCCGATCATTTGTAATTAATAAAAGCCTCGGTGTGTTTATTTGGGAGCTGCTGGCTGGTCAGAAACTTCCACCAATAAGATAGCGTTTTACCGCCCATGTTACCTTGATCTTACTGACAAAGCAAGGTCTTTTTTGGAGGAAAATGACAAAGAAATTTTAAAAGGATGAAAGTCAAGCCAGGTAGTGGTGATGCACACCTTTATCCCAGCACTCAGGAGCTGTTTTATGGAAAGAACCTGGAAACCATGCATAAAAATATGGGAATGGGGTGCTTTCCAGAAGAGTAAACAATTAGATGTAACTCAGACGTCCAATAGAAATTAGGGGTTGGGCTAATAATTTTATTAGTTGTCCCTGGGGTTTCCCTTTATCACAGCACTTAGGCAGTTAATGGCCAACGCCATGTGCAGGAAGGAGACTGTAGCATGTAAGAGCACATCAGTCTTTTAAATACTGTACAGCATGTTTCTCAGCCTGTTGGTCTTCACCCCATTGGGGGTAGATGACCCTTTCACAGGGGTTGCCTAAGACCATCAGAAAGATATTTATATTATGATTCATAGCAGTAGCAAAATTACAGCTATGAAGTAGCAACAAAAATAATTATATGACTGGAGGTCACCACAACACAAAGAGCTGTTTTAAAGGGTCAGAGCCTCAGGAAGGTTGAGACCCACTGCTGTAGAGTGAATCCAAAGTCACATAACCATAGAGAGACAGACTAAAAGAAATAGGCAAGACATTGACTGTGCTGCTTTTGGGGTGGGTTGCGCTCCAGGCTGGCGTTTATTTCTAAACTTCTCTTTTTTTCCTCAGTTTTTCTTTGATAAACAAGTATTTTTATAGTGTGAAAACAAAAGGCAATCCCCATTTTAAAAAAATCCCTTGACCAGTACAATGTCCCACTTTCAATATCTTTGAAGCATAATAAATTTTGTACATGGATTCTCCATTTTAGGGATTTAAGTGAGAATCCCAAGGTATAGAAAAAGCACCAGATAGTCATAATTTTATTTCCTTTGGTTAAAATCCCTGTTCTGGCGAGTCTCGGCTCTCTGTAGGCCAAGCGTGGCAGAGCTTGCTCAGCCCCTCACTTACCATCGTGGGTCTCCATGGCAGGTCCTGGACACACGGCAGATCCCTCTGCTCCCACACACCAGTACATGCTGGGCGGTCGCTGTGACATGCCAGCCATCAACCCTCCAGGCAGCAGATCTCCACAAAAAAGTCTCGCTGTTGTCACCGCCACTGTGCAGGTGCGCTAACGCACGGAGTCATGGTGCCGCAGACACTCGTTCGTTCTGGTGGCAAAAGACATCAAATTAGAAAGTTCTCAAACGGAAGAAGTCCTCTCTTGCAAGCCCTCACGGGTATTCACTCTTTTCATGGGCTTTCCCCCTTTCTCTGCAGTATTGCTTCATAGTCCACGTATCGGGCCAACTCTGTCAGATAGGGACACTGAAAGTACAATGCCCTTCCCCGACCCCACCTTCACACTGGGCTCAAATTCTGGTTATGTGAAAAGAAACTCAAAATTATCACAAAGCATGACCTGGAGTGATCAGTTGTTCAATCAACACTTACCCAGGACAACCAGGCCCCTGTTGGCAAGACTCATTTCCATTGGGAGAGGGTGGGCACATGGTTGCTCACAATATAAGGCCGTCCCTTGCCTAGGACTGATATCTATAGATGCCCCAGGTGTGTGAACATGATCCCCAAATGGGAGCCAGGCACTGGTCCCAAAGAGAAGGGGTCTGGAAGGAGTTGTTACTGGTTATCATGTAAAATGAACCCTGAAAATGCTGCCTCTCTCTAAGGTGACATTTGGCAATCGAGAGATATTTGGGTTGTCACAACCTGGGAGAGGGGTGCTATAGGCACGTAGTAGGTAAAGGTCAGATGTGTGGCTAAACAACCTACCATGCATCCGGCCACATAGAGTTCTGGCCAATTGAAAATTCATCTCCTAAAACTGAGCAAGCTTTGATCTGTGGCTCAACTCTGCTCTCCCATGCTTGGATTCCCCCTGACCCTGGAATTCTTCCAATGTGAATGCCTATGCTGCTTTGCTGAAGAAAGGTCCAGATCTATTTTGAAAGGTCTGCTTAGACGTGGCACAGGACAGGACAGGAAGATATGTATGTATGTATGTATGTATGTATGTATGTATGTATGTATATATGTATACACAGCTATGGAATGTTTCTGTTTTGTATTAACAATGTGACATCCAGTTGAAACAATCTCCCCCTACACACACACACACACACACACACACACACACACACACACACACACCCTGGCAATATCACAGGTCTACTGGGGGACTTCACATAAGACAGAGTTTGAATAGTCACTGTCTCCAACATGGCTAGTATGGTCAGTACTTAAATCAGAACGAGGACTTGGGAGGTCAACAGGGTTTCATACCCCCCCCGTTTGATTAACACACTCTGAATATCACTGTGTCCCAGATCACAGGTTCTCGAAGCTTCCCCCAAACTGTGTAGCCACTGAGCAAGCCACAGGACAAAGAAGAGCTGAAGGGTGCTTCTAATTGCTCCTCTGAAAGTTTGAGAATGCGGCGCCTGCTTTTAAGGGGTGGTGTGATGTGGTCAGGGGTGGGATGGGGCTGGGGATGGACTCTTCCAGGCAGGAGCAGATGTGGCCACATGAGTCCACATGGGTGGTCTTGCTCCTTTGAACCCCACTTCTCTGAACTTCTCTGAACCAGGGGACCCACCAGCCAAAGAAAGGTATTTAGAGTTGAGAAGAATGGAAACACAGGAGAGCCAGGCAAAACCCAGAAGCTTCTCAGGGAGCTTTGTAAGTTCTACAGTCCAGGAGAAGAGAGAGAGGGAAAACACTGAGACAGACTCTGATTAAAAATAAATGCTTCAGCCGGGCGTTGGCGGCGCATGCCTTTAATTCCAGCACTTGGAAGACAGAGTTAGGCAGATCTTTGTGAGTTTGAGACCAGTATGGTCTATAAGAGCTAGTTGCAGGACAGCCTCCAAAGCCACAGAGAAACCCTGTCTCGAAAACAAACAAACAGTAAATAAACAAATAAACAAATGCTTCACGTTACACATGAAACCCCAGAAACTGAGAGTCATAGTTACCATCTTCTTTCAAACGCCTTTCTAAAGTCACCAAACACAGGATCCATGTCAAAGATTAAAGATTTCCCCCATGGCAGATGATCCTTTTCAGGACAGAAGTGGCTTGATATATGTGTTTAAACCACACACACACACACACACACACACACACACACACACACACACACTATTCTAGGCTAACTTTCAGCCAGCACACTTGGTTCCCCTTTCAGTTTCCTTTTGCAAATCACTCCACAGACAGAGGATTCTGTCATAGGAATGGTTTTTAAATTGTAGTTTGCGTTTGGGTTTACACCCTAAGGTAGGTGCTGAAGGACGAGGGAACTGGAGTTATTCCATTTTACGCCCCAGGGCTTCCTCACACTTCTCCTAGCGGCAGGGCCATGCAACAAACCACTGTGGCAAATGTTGAGTTTTCATTCTATACCCTGCAGAGGTATATTTTTAAATGCCACCTGTCTTCTTTGCCAACTCTGCAAGCCTGTATGAATGAACATACTTAAATGATTGTTGGAAAACAGAAACAAGGAGCTTGCTGTTCATTCCGGAAAGACTTTACTGAGATGTTTTGGTGAAGAGCGAATATCGATGAGTTTGTGATACCGGAGGGAAGGGAAGACAACAAAGTAAGTCATTACTATGAGGCTTCTGAGCAAGGAGAGCCATAGGTGTTTGTTTCAACAGAAAGTTTGGGAAGGACACTCAATACAGGCATTATATGTCTGCGTGAAGCATGCTGGGAAAGCTCACAGCACCTAGTTCCTTCTTGAATCAAAGCCTGGCCTCGAGGGATAGCCTGTAGTTGTAGGTACCTCTAGTGCTTCTGGCATCTTCTGAATCATATTGGTGCCTACAAAAATGGATGTCAAAATATGTTGATACCCTACATGAGTGAGGAAAGGCTGGAGGACAGAAATGGTCCACCAGTCTGAAGCCGCATCTAACTTAAGGCTTGCACTATTCCATCACTGTACCTATGACCATTCACAGGTGCCTCCTGGCATGGTTATGAGAGGATGCCACAGTGAGCAAGGCAGTCCCCAGTGGAGACCCTGAGTAGGTGTGTAGAAGATGAACAAAGGAAGGAGGATTCAGAGGAAAGGAAGGGAGAACCAGGGTGAATAGTGAATGGCCAGGGAAGACTCTGGAGGTCACACGCAGAGACATGGAGTGGAGAGTGAGCTCAATAAGGGAGGCTGGGGGCAGTGGCCTGGTGCTGTGGGATGGCAGAAGGCTAGAACGAATGGAAAGGAGAGAGTGCTGGAGACTCCGTGAAGAGGAGGGACACATCCCATCAAGCCATTAAGAGTGTATGTACACCTTCCTGCCTAGGGGAAGACCCACTGCTATCATTCTGCTAAGGGGGCATAGCAATAAAATGGCTCCCAATGACACCTGGCTTTACCCATACATAAATCAGCACATAGGTCAACCCACATCGCAGAAGCTTCTTCTTGCAATAGATGGGAATTAACACAGAGACCCACAACTAGTCAATGCAGAGAGTATGAGACTTTGGAGCACCCAGTCCTAAATGGGATGTCTTTGTCATACCCCTCCTCTCAATGCTCAGGGATCTATGGGTCAGAGGAGGCGGAAAAATTGTAACCTGTAGCAAATGACTCCAAGGAAACAGCATTTTTGGAACACACCAGGGCTGATGCACACATGAGCTTACAGCGACTGTGGCCGCAAGCGCAGAGCCTGCACAGGTGCAGACCAGACAGAAATCCCAGCCTCGGGAAGGGGAAGTGGGCACCGAGTCCTACCTCTAAAGCAAGAAGCTATTTGCAATTGTGATAGATGCTGGGAGAGGAAAACCAGTTTTCAGTCCCAGGCCCAGGAGCAATTGATCAACACAAAGCAGACTCCATGGTTTTTGTGTGCTTTTTCGTTTGTTTGTTTGGCTGGCTTGTTTACTTTAGTGTTTTGTTTGGGTTTTGATAGGAAGAATATAAAGTTGGGTGGATAGGGAGGAGAAGGATATGGGAGGAGTTGGGGTGGGGGAAATAGTATGACAAATATAGTGCATAAATAATTTTAAAGAATAAATATTAAAACAAAGAATGTATATATATATATTATATCACCGTGCCTGCTAGCTAGAGCAGAGAGGGATCGTGATCATATATAGCAGAGACAGGGCAATTTGGTCTGTGGAGGAGGCTGTGGGAAGAAGGGAACAGACCAGGATACTTTTGGGGGGATGGAACCAACAAGACAGTAGACTGGACTGAGAAATGAAGAGAATTTCTAGGGTTCTTATTTTTAATTCTCTCTCCTCTGTGTGTGTGTGGTGTGTGTGTGTTTTGTGTGTATGGTATGTGTGTTGGGGTACTGGTGTGTGTGTGTGTGTGTGTGTGTGTGTGTGTGTGTGTGTGTGTGCGCGCGCATGTTGAGAACATAGGACAGCCTCTGGTATTGGTCTTTCCTTTACACCATGTTTGAGACTCCCAGTCTCTTCTTCACTGTTGCCCATGCTGAGCTGGTTGACCAGGGAGTTTCCAGGAAGTCTCCTCTGCGCCTCCCATGCCGGCATTACAGATGCTGGCATCACAGCCTTTACCACATAGGGCTTTATGCAGCTTTCGAATCTGAATTCAGACCCTTACACTTGACCAGCAAGTGCTTTACATACTGAGCCATCTCCCCAGCTGGTTTACTTTACGATTATTATTATTACTATTACTATTATTTTATCTAAGCTATTTAGGAGATGTAGAAGTCTGGGTGGAAAAAAGGCTTGGTTGGCCCTAAAACTTCCTTTAGGGACAAATTAGGTGTTGGCATGCTGTTTTTTTTTCTGGAATGTGAGCAAAGACAATGAAAAACAAAGAGTTGAATACTAAGGTTTTTCAAAATGTGCATATTGTGGTCCCTTTACTGCTTCTACGCGCATGGCTAACTCATTAAAAAATAGGGTATTTGGTGAGAATATGCTAAGAATATAGCTCTTATGACCCTCGCTTCAGTCTTTGCAGGGGTGAACGCACGCAAGAGAAAATCTTAATGGCCTCGAACTATGAAAAGTCAGGCTGAACTGACTCTTGGCATCCTTAGGGTTTCTCCATTGCTATCATCGTTGTTTCCATCCCTAGCTTTCCTAGGATTCCTGCCCTCGTCCGCACTGGGGACCAGAGCAGGCTCATACAACAGAGGGGACAGTTTTTCTCAGTAGCCACGGAGAAGCTACCACTGGTCGAGAAGCGCGCCCCAGGAGTGGAGGAGGGGAAGACCTACAGGCCACCCCACACCACCCGGATGCCCAGCGCCTGGAGAGCCCGCTGGGCGGTCGTCTCCCGCCACTGGCGCCCACGCACTCCCATGCGCACACATGCTCAGATCCCTGCTCTCGGTTAAGTCAGGCTTTCTTCAAACGCAAAAGAACTTTGTAGACGCCGTGGTGTTTCCTACTTTTGTTTCTGAACTCTGCTCCCCGCCCCCATTCCGCCCCAATCCCGCGCGGGATTTCGGGGTCCCCCAGCCCCGGGACTCCAGCACCGCACCCGCTTAACCCTTCAAGGGGCGATGGTCGCGGCGCAGTCAGAGAAACAGCGAGGAGACCCGGGCCGCCCCGAGATCCAGGCTCCCCCAAATCTGTGACCTGAGAGGATCCGTTCCAAGTCGGGGTCCGGGGCCCGCGACCGCCAGGGGTGCGGGGTTCCGGCCTGGGGAGCGGGACGGGACGCAGGGTGCAGGGCAGGCGGCCCGCGGCTGCACGCGGCAACCTGAGCGCGGGACCGGGGGTCGCGGGTGAAGCTTGGCTCTCAGGCCGCTCGCTTCAGTCCGCTCCCCGGGCAGGGAGCGGGCGGAGCAGCACTTACCTGCGGCAGCGGGGTCGGGGCGCTGCGGGCTGGACACATCAGCGGGCCGGGGCCTGCAGGTCCTGCCGTGCTCTACCCTGCGAGGCTCTCTGGCCGCCGCGGGACCAGACACACTTCCTCAATCCTGCGGCCGCCTGGCGGGCGGAGAGGGCGGGTGGCGCGGAAGCAGGGCCGGGCCAGAGGGTCGGCTGCCCCTGGGCTCCGCACATGAGGACAGGGTCCCTCGATGGCCTGCCTCGGTTTCTCCAGCTGCTAGATGTCGGTGACCAAGCTCACTCACTGCTCATGCCTGGGTAGACGCTAGGGATTTTGTAGGGTCCTCTCCGAGTTCGGATGCCCAGCTGCCTTCCCTAGGGATCGCACAATGACAACAAGATTGCTCTCCATTCTCTGCTCGGCCTTTCCTTCTCTGCTTTGGTAATAGACTTAAAGTCTGTCTTGTATGCTGGCCGTGTACTCTGACTGTAAACATACAAGGACGAGAATATTAATGTGTGTGCAGGTCTCTAGGAAGCAGTATAGAAACTGCTTCTCAAACGTCGATGTTTTGTGAACCGTTCCTTTCTGCCACTAGCCCACTAACTTAATTAAGGACATTTGCAAAGCTATTACTAGTTGGTGACTCTTTTTAGATTTTTTACTTCTGTTGCAGCTGGGACTACAGGCGCATGCCACATGGTCTGTCTGATTGTGGTGGTGAGATGTAAAACATGGTGGAATGTTGTGCCAACTGACGCCACTGAGGATAATAGCCAAACACAGGCTAAACGCTCATGCTAGCTAAGCTCCCGGCTTCTGATTCAGCTCCGATATTCGCTGAGAAAGGACAGTCCTTTGCAGATAAGCGGGTCTTCCTCTGAGCGCTTCTGTGGTAAGCTAACAAGGAACATTCCCCAGACAAGACACAAAGCACATAGGCAGATCGCCACAGCCCTCTTTACCAGTTCTCAGAAAGTGAGCAGCTGAGCTACTTCAGGAGCGCCCTGAGTGTTCACTTAGGGTTGGTGTTTGGCAAGGGGGACTACCTTGCAGCTCTCCTCCACCGAACACCCTTCCGAAAAAGTAGGCAAAGTTCTGCAATCCTGTCCTCGCCACCGAGGTCCTCAGGACAATTAGCAAGGGCAGCAGTATGACTGCTACGGAAAAGTCCCTAATAGTTTGCAGGCCAGGCATTAGCAGTTTGAATGAGCCGGGTTTGGCGTTGCCTTCAGAGCGTACATTGCTGCCACCTAGCGTTACTAGGAGGAAATCTATGCCTGGTGCCAGAACAGACAGTTGGGCTGCCAATACTTACTGGGGAAAGAAAACTTCCCCTTTAAACAAGCTTGGAAATAGGCTAGGAAAAATGCCCGATGTAGAAAAACACATGTGTGCCTCATCCCAGCATTCAACTTTACCCAGTAGGAGTGCATTAGTCACAAGTTTGCAAAGGGGCCTATTACAGCACAGTTAAGATTCTTTTTTCACCCCCACAGACCATGTTCTTCTTGCTTTTGCTTGCATCCCGCCCAGATTTTCAGGGCTGGAAGGACCATCTCCAACGGGGTTCAGTTGATAGACCATGGTCGGGGTAGGTCAGCTACCTACTGCTCTGAATGAACATTCCACTGAGGAGGCTAACTGGTCTTTTGGTTTTTACTCAGCCAGATCCTCACTTCCTTCAGGTATCCCCCTCCAGCAATGCTGTAACCCCCCCCATCTCCACCGGCGAGTGCAGTCCGCTGTGTCTGTTGAGGAGTGGACGTTAGAAAGCAGCCCCCCGCCAAGAAGTGGAGCTGGAGCACCCCAAAGTGTCTCCTTTCAGAGAATGCACCCAACCTCAGCCCTGCAAGTGCACACACACGCATCCACACACCTTGTACACACACACACAAACACACCCCACCCCATCTCCAGAGTGGTTCTCTCTGGACAGTCATGTTCTAATTCATGAAACAACAGAAAGTGTAATTTTTACATCATCCATCCACGTTTGGATGAGAAATGAAACATTCACAAACACAGCAACACATGCACTCATGCACACGAAGGAAGGTCTCGTCCAGCCGCCCCTGGGCCAGTTTCAAGAGGGTGGTGCCTTTTGACCCATGTCAGCTTCTGATGCTGAGTTCACAGTTTGATCTTTCCAGACCTACCCAAGTCCAGTGAAGGTTTCCTCTCCAGTATCAGGTGAGGTCACAGTCGGGTGACTGGTGTTTCTTGGCAGTCAGAAGCCTTAAGAACTTCAGCTAAGTTAGGCCCAGACCCTTAGATCACCACAGAGAAAAATCACAAAAAACCCACAAACAAACAAACATGGTCACTACTTGGGAACAAGATGATTTCCCCAAATCCTCATCTTTCTGTACTCAATCATCGCTGCTTTATGATTAAAATGGGGCTTAAAGTTAGCCTGTAAGGCACAGGGCTGTTCCACATCCAAGACTATAGAAATGGACGTTACCATCAGGAAAAGAAGCCCTGTGTGTGGCCGATTTAAGAAGTACAATTTTATTATTGCCAGTGCTTTATCAAAAGCCACATTACACAGAAGTTTCAGAGAGAAAGTTCTGCCACAGAATTCAAATGCGGTTAGTCCTTCAGTGAAAGAAAAAAAAAAGATTGTTTCTCAAGTGTCCAATTTTATTTTGTCATTGCTGAACAAGATCTGAAGTTACGATCAGGATTCCCACTCTGATTAATTTAAAACCCATACCACAGGGGTAACCCTTAAAGAAGTGAAATCTAACATTATATAGATTTTCATTTCTAAATACAGTATATTACAGAAGGTTAAATATGCTACCTCTGTGTACTTACAGCTATAAAAAGATACATTAATGATACCAATTATAAATAATGTAACATTTCATAGTAAAGGCATTATTGTACAATGGAGGAATAGCAACCCTCTAATGTATTGTAGTGCCGAGAGTTATTGAGATACTGAAAGTTCACTGTATGGGGCCACATCCTGATTTAACCAGTTACAGGTAGTATAAGTGCTGAGGCAGGAAAGAGGGTGGATGGAATACTGCTTGTCTCTGACTCGCCTGAGAGCTCCAGCTCACGCATCTTATGCTTTATACACACGCTGCTTCTGATACGAAGCTTCGTTTCCACTCTTGCTCAGTCCCACTTTAAACCTTAAGTGTAAGCATCACAGCCAATTGGAGGGGTGTGTGTTGCTGGCAGTAAAAGGACCCAAATGACAGTCAACCCAATGAGCGTGCTTCTATTCTTAGAGCATTACAGGAACGGTTTTAGTTTCCCAAGTTAAAAGATAGAATTGGCATATCACATGGATACACGGAAGAGGAAAAGAAAAACGTTATAGTGTGAGTGGAATATCCAGGTCACTTGGCTGGAGACCGAGTCCCCTATGGGATCCAGGTGTCATAGGTTAATCAATCAGAAATGAAAACCCAAACGGGACTTTACAACTACAGAGCTATGCAGTGGCAGCTGTCTCTCAGTGGCATGCACTTTACCAGTCTAACACGGGTAATGGAGCTGGAGAAAAGAAAAAGGAAGTGGACGCACCCATTACTGAATGTGGTAGAATGGGTAATTTGCAAAAGTGAGTAATGGCTCCAAGTGTCAAATGTACGGCTCGATTGCCTAGGGTTTGCTCTGCTAGGGCAGTTCCTAAATGACTCGTCGGTGGCAAAGGTGACACTGAGGATGCTCTCTGACTAAGAAGGGCCTTGGTTATGGCTGACCATCTCATTACTATAGGGCAAACTCTTTGGGATGTTGATTTGGTCATTACAAAGTCAGGGCTGTTTGCAAGGTGAATCCCATGGTCAGCGTTAATATGCAGCCTTCGGGACTGGCACCCTCACAGACCAGAGCCTTCTGGAGTCTTTCCTTGGCATGTGTTTCCCCTGAACTCCCCAGGATTCTCCTTTCATGCCAGCACTAATCTTTTGCTTGTGAATAGTCCCATTTCAACCTCAGAATGAGGACGGACTTGTCCCATGCACAGGTGACCTCTAGGAGCTCCTGGGAACGGATCTGCTTGCGGTACATGCAGTGAGCTTTTTCACGTTCCTACTGGGGTCAGCAAAACATTTAAAGTAACTGCGGGACACTCCAGAGACCATCTCCTATTAACAGAGCCCTGGTTGTCTTTGCTGTGCTCTGCATTTAAGCTAAGGGCAAAGTCACAGCTGGATACCGGTTCCTCCCCAGGCAGGCCTGCAGTTTCACACAGCATCCAGCCAGCCACCCAGTTTGGTCCCTAAAGCATGAGTGTGAGAGGAAAATCAAAACGATTAAACTCCAGTAGACCGAGTGTCCAGAAGAGAGGGTCCTGGGAAGATGAGCACTGTCACCCTGCTTTCTGCTCGAGGCAAGTTGGAGTCACCACCAGACAGCTGTCCAGCTTTTGAGGAAGAAACCGGTCTGTCCTTCAGGGGTTCTTGTCATCGAGTTTGATGGTGACAGTTTTCACTTCTGTATACTCAGCCAGAGCATACTCACCTCTGTGGAGACAGGAAGGGGGCAGGTCACACTGTTGGTTCATGGTTCTGGGAAAACTTCTAATGTCTGAGCACACTGGAGCAGTTTGAATGTTTGGGTTTGTGTGACAGGAACAATGTGGTGCCTAGACATAGTAGGGGCAGTAGGCACTATGATGTCTTCGGTGGGTGTCAGGAACTGGAAGTGAGTTTAAGTGTTGAGTGTGTGATGCTTTTGAAGGGCTGGGTCAGACTGCAGGGGAAAGGCACAAACACAGGCACAGGCTAGCCATGGGGGGGGCAATGGCCCTTGGGTTAGTGTCTTTGGCATATTTCCTTCCCTTAAGTCTCACAGGGGCCAGGGATCTTTCCTAGGCATCATAGACCATCCTTGGAGCAGATCCCTTTCCCAGAACCAAGCGGCAACTTGCATGGAGAATTCCTCCTTAGCACACTCTTAGTGGTTGCAGAAAATAAATCAAAAGGCAGGGGTAGAGATGGCCTCTCCAGGCTCTATATTAAAAGATCTGCAGGTGACTACTCAGTCCGCATCATCAGTCTTACTTCTGAATGTGTCAGAAATGCAGGTTCCGGGCCTCACCAAGGACTACTGTGGCAGATAAAACTGGGAAAGCAAACAGTAGAGTGTGTCCACCTCCTACTCCCCTGTGCTGGTGCACATGCTGGGTCACACGGCACGGGAGAACCCGTGCTGGACATGGACTGCTTGTGACTAGTCAACTGACTTCAAAATAGAGAATTTTCTGGGTCATTTGGGTAGCCCCGCGGTCCTTAAGAACTGAAGACAAGACACAAAAAGGCATCACCGGGCTGGTTGGGAAGATGGCTAGAGCCTTCAGACAAGTATGAGGTGAGCCGCAGGGAAAGCTCAGTCCTCATAAGCCTCCGGCCTAGCAGACACCTTGATGTAAGCTCAGAGAGAGCTGCACCTATTCTATAGAGCTTGCTGTTACATGTTTGTGCCATCTAAGACACTAGGTTTTCAGTACCATTAGAAAAGCAATTTCTTTATGGGATCAGAAATTTCCTCAGCGGAGTCAAGAAGTTTGTGTTCAGTAAGTTCCCTGGGTGATTCTGCTGCCTGATTGAGTGTAAAAGAGCAATAGAGCTTAGGATCGTGTAGGTGAGTAAAGTTGACTGAAACCCCTGAGACTGTTTCAACTGTACTGTGGGAAGACCACCACTACTGTCCAGTTGCATCAACTAGAGAAAAGTCACACGGGCCACTCACTCTGTGCTGAATGAGCAATGTCACCATTAAGAAGGTATGCTGTTTTCATCAATACACTGAATGTTCTTATAAAGAAACAGGGAAAACACAAACAGCCAAGTGGAAAATTCCACAAAGGACATACTCATTTCTGCGGAAAAAGATGTGCAAATTCCAGTAAGTGTGAAGGGGACACCAGATGTCTCACACATAAAGACACATGAAATCACACAGAGAAACTTTCATGTGGCTGAGCACTGAATCCTAGGAATTCATTCTGAAGACCACCACACTAAGTGCATAAATATACACAAGGAAGCTTATAAACAGGGTTTGCAATAATGAAATAATACTGGCACCCATTCTAAGTGGCTTTCACTAAAAGATTGGGGGATATCCAAAACCCATCTTCGAGGGCAAAATATAGTTTGCTTCCACATTAGTAAACAGAAAAAGAATGAGTGTATTTATGCATATCCACAGAAAATATACTATAAACTTTCAAAATGAGCAGATAGTATTGTTTTGCAAAAATTCTAAGTTTTAGTGGTTTATCAATCTTATAGTAAAGAAAGGGATAAAAATCCTGAATTAGTTCTTGTTGAACAAGCTCAGAAGTGTCAGCATTCTTGCAGGAAACAGGCTGTAGATTCCTCATTCTTCTTTCTATTTCCTCATCTGTTGTTCTGGTTCAAGTTCCTGATGTCCTCACTCAACCCCTCACCCAGTCTTTTCCACCTCAGCAACCAAGGCCATTTGGGAGCTCAGCCTTCCTCCTAGTAAACCTCCCTAGAATATCAATAGCGACAAGGGTTGATAACAGTTCCCTGACAAACACCAATCTTGGAGTAGTAAAGACGCTCAGCAGACATTTGCAAGAGGCAAATTGCCAAGAGATCAAGGCTCAGTCCTTTGTGAAAGTGTATGACCACTCTCACCTCATGCCCACAGGGTCTGCTGTGGATATGCCCTTGAATAAACTGTTGTTAGTAAGGATGTCTTCAGAGACCCAGCTGGAGGCTCAAGGCCGGGTGGGGGGCCAAGGTCAAATTTGAAGAGCAATATAAGACAGGCCAGATGGAACGCTTTTTCTAGAAGCTTTGGTTTTAGGTTTATATTTGTTTCTACTATTACATTTTTAAAAATAGCTTTTAAATTTAAAATTACTCTTTTTAAATTTAGAAAAACAAAACCAAAAACAAATATTTGCCATGTGAACCAATGACTGAATGAATGAAATGAGTTCCTTTAACAAGTGGGACTAAGGGTCAGGGAGGAAGGTCTGACCTTGCCCGTCTCTGTTACATGAGTTTTTGTTGCCTGGCTTGAATGCCTTATGTACACTGCAAAGAGCCAAGGAGCGATTCACCAAGAGAAATAGGCTTTTCAGGCTCCACCCGTGACCAGCCCAGAAACACATCCTGGTGGGGCTGGCGGGTGTATAGCCAGTAACCAGCCCAGCCCCAGTGACCAGTTTGGGGAAAACCATGGAATCCACCTTATGGTGCTCCAGCATAGAAAAGGGGAACTTGTTGCAACAAGGAGACATTAATCTGAAACAACTGAAAATAGAAATCATTTTTCAGGTCAGTTTCCAGGCACTTCATGAATGCTTTGAAAATGCTTCACAAAAAAAAAAAAAAAAAAGCTTTGGAAAAATATATGCCAAAGATCCAAAAACAAAACAAATACAAAACAAAACAAAAACCCCAGACATTCAAGGAAGTCCCCCGGCACAGCTGTCTGGATGAAACATGACCAAGGTCTGTGAGCTTAGCTGGTGGCAGTCATAGGGACCACAGACCCCACCCAGGGAAATGAGTGGCCCAGGTAAGAAAGTTCAGTGCAGTGGTCGTAGGGAAGGCCAGGCAGCAGGTGTCCCCTGTGTCCTTCCAAGGACCCTCACTTAGGGGACTGGGGTGCTTGCTGCCTCCCAGCCTCTAGAAGGAAGGCTGTGAGGGGTTTAGGTTCCTTAGTCCTCACAACCCACCTGGCTGAAGACAGGACCAGAAGAGACAAGTGACCACATGAGTCCTGGTGTCTTCTACTGAAGTGATTTACAGAGGTGACTCCTAGGGCAGGGGTCAGCTCAGTGGTAGAGAGCTTTCCTCATGTAATGATGGAAGACATAAATTCAACTCCCAGTACTGCAAAAACAAAACCAAATCTCCCCAAACAAAATTCAAAGCACCACAAGACACAGATGGTCTCTGCCTAGCAAGTCCTGGGCTATTGGAAGCCCAAGGCCAGGGTGCCAGTGTTATCCTTAACACTGTCCTTGTGGTTGTGAGCCTAACCTTTAATGGGTGAGCCATCTCTTCAGCCCTACTCTGATGACCCACTAGCTTCCTGGGTCTGCCTCGTCCCCCGAAAGCTGTTATCTCCTCACAGACTGTTTCCACAAGAACATAAATGACTGTGCAGGGCTCTCACGAAACCTTCTAGCGTCTGCGCTCAGCAAATGACAGCTCTCACCGGCATTGTTCCCATTGGAGGAGCCCGGAAGGGACTCAGCTGACCCTACCTCTGGCCTCCCATCCTCGGCTGGAAGGCTCCTCGGATAGGCCGTGAAGTGAAGGCTCCAAGATGGCGAACGCAACAGGCTGCCCACAGGGCACCAAACTCCTACCATGGGTCTTTGTGGCCAAGAATCAACAAGTCATTGCAGGAGAGCCAGTCATAGGCCCAAGGAGGGGGCCAAAGGACACTCTGTGTTTTTTGCTCCAGTGTGCAGATCGCCCCTGAGCACCGGTCATCTCATGAATGGGGGATGGTCTGAGCGGAGCTGAGGTGGACAAAGAACCTGATTCCCACAGACCAGTCAAGAGCCAGTGGAAGCCAGCCCCTCCCCCACAGTAACAGCCTCAAGAACCTAGAGGCAGAGCTGCTTAGTGTCCCCACAGAGGCCTAGGCTGAGGAAAAAGGGCCTGGTGTCTGTTCTGAATACAAGTGCCAACTGTAGAAGATAAAGCATTTGTGTATAAGCAACACAGACTGTTTAGACAAAGGAGAACACCAGCCCTCAGAAAGATCCAGGAACAGCCTTGGGGTGTTGTCACAGATGGCTCCCCGGGAACATTGAGCCTACCAAGATGTTTGTCCACACTGGCTAATAAAACCCAGGGGTGGGGTGGGGAGAGATGCTAGCATGTAGCTGGGGACCCCTGGGACACTCCACCCAGCTTTGGGCCTGGGCCAGAGGCACAACGGCCCATCTATGAATGTTAGGAGGTCAGACAGGAAAGAGACACAGAGGAATTTGCTTAGACCCAGAATGTTCTTCTGGGGCCATGGAGGCCACTCAAAAAGGTATCCAGAATGAAGCGGGGTCATCCAAGGTATGTCCTCAATGCTTGTGCCAGGCTCTGAAAGCAGAGCTGTGAGGATTCAGAGACTGATCAAGCAGTCTGTTTTCTCTGCCCAAAGTGGAGATGTGTGCCCTAAGACCCTCATTTGCCGCCTCCCCATCCCGCTAACCTAGGCCAGAGCACCGTAGAAAGTCCCTACGGTGATGGGGCTGGGCGGGGCAAGAAGCTGAGGCTGCAGTTTGGTTCTGGGGCTCAGGGACAGGGAGAAGGGTAGGAAGGGAGGAGGGAAGATGGCAGAGATCCTGATCAGCCTGCACCGAGGGACCACCAGCCTACATGGGAGAGGGGAGAGTGAGCGCCAGAAACACTTACTGTTCTCTGCCGTTCCCAGACATTTTGAAGCCACCAAATGGAGCCTGTGCATAGAATGCATTGTAGCAGTTGACCCTAGAGAGAGGGTAAAAAGGCACTCTGGTTACCCGGAGAACACTGGCCTGCATCTTGAGACACTGGAGGGACAGTGCTGCCCAATGCATGGCCTTTGGGTAAAGTTTCCATAACTTGATAACAGCACACACCCCTTGTGCTCTTTCTTCCTGCCAGAAACTACAGTTGGAGGAAGAGAGCTGTGAAACAACGCAGGCCTGACCTCAGGGCTCTGCTTCATGGGCTGTGTAGGTGACTCTAAGCTTGCTCAGCCTCTTTGAGTATTACTCCATCCATCTGGGAGATGGGCATGAGTATCCAGTCTATAGGATTATCAGTAAGTGTCCATACTGGGCAGGTTAGTTATGAGCTGTCTTTAGAATCCTCCAGAGACACAATCAGAGAGGTGGTGTGCTGCGGTTGTGGAAAGTTCAGGCTTTGGAGCTATGTCCCGTGATCCTTGAGAACCATAGGTTCTGCCCCCTCAGATTCAACTAACTTCAGACTCAAAGTTTTGTGCAGAATTCTTTTTCCCCTTGACAGTATTCTCTAAACAATTACGTACAATAATTATCAACACAGCATTATATCAGGTGTCGACAAGCCTGTAGATGATTTTGAAGTATGCAGGAGGGGATGGGGCATACCTTGGTGCTAAAATGCCTTTCTAGTATGTTCCAGGTCCTGGGCCAGAGTGCCAGTATGGTGCAAATAAATAAATAAATGATAACAAATAAACAAGCAGGCTGGAAGATGTTCCTAAGCTATCTGCATCTGGAGAGACTTAGGTAGCCATAGATTTTGGTCTCTCAGCAAGGAATGAATCCCCTGCAGCCAAACGCTGAGGGATAACTGCACGAGCTGTGTGATGCTGGACAAGTCATTCCCTCTCTTTTTATGCCCTGATTTCTTCATGAGAAAAACGAAGGACTCAAGGTCGTGGGATACCCATTTCAGAGGACGGTCACCAAGGCCCTCAAACAGTGTGAGCGCATCATGCAATCTCCGCCACTGGAAGGGAAATGAGGCTAGCAAGCCAGCGGCTCAGATAGCACAAACGCTCCGGCGCCCGTGCCTGGCTCACCAGACTGTGCCCGACTCCAGCGCAGAAGCCAGCCTCAGGGCTTTGTCGAGGTTCTTGGTGAACACTGCTGCCGTGAGTCCGTAGTCGGTGCTGTTTGCTCTTTTGATCACTTCTTCAAGATTTTTGAACTTCAGTATTGGCTGCACTGGCCCGAAAATCTGTAATCAATCACAAGGAGGGTAGAAGGCCTGTAAGGATGGGATTGTGTGCCCTGATCAGGGACCCAGCTTCTATGCCTTCCCATAGTCCCAGAGTTCCTCCCTACAAGACCTCTGTAACTGCGTGATGGCTGAAACTTGAATGAGGGAATTAAGATAGAACAAAAATAGAGGAGGACCCAAAAACATGTACACCGCATTCATGCTCCCTCTGTGCTAGCACTGTTTGTGAGAACTGTCGGTCTCAGAACCTTGGAGAAACCCATGAAAGTAGAAAACCATTGGCTAGCTCTCTGGAACGTCCTCCAGAAGGGTGTCCACGGTGGGTGAGCACTGCTTTCCTGGTGTCTTTTCTGTCCCTTTATGAAGATACTTAAACGACTTCTGTAGAGAGTGCCAGAGGAAGGAATGGGCCAGTGGTCACACTGCGAAGAAGCCAGGGAGAGGAGCCGCGGGCTTGCCGTACTCTGAAGGGAACTTGTGACTGACTCAGCGCTGGGTGGGGTCCCACGCCAGGACAGTGTGCAGCCTCTGGACATGGCTCCTCGGGACACCTCACAGGAAGAAGTGTACAAAACAGCAACCACAGTGAAAGAAAGGTTTTTTAAAAAGAGGTGCATGAAGACCTGAGCTCTGTCTGTCCTGCTCTGTCTGTCACGGGGAGGAGAGAAGCCTTTCAACATCTCAAGGAGAAAGTCCCTGGAGACCCACCTTACAGAGAAGTACACAGCCACCCCTCACACAGCCCTTCTTGAAGGTCTAGTCACTCAGCCTCAGAGTCCTTTCCTACTGATCCTGTGCGGGAACAGCCGCCATGTGCCTAACGTTGGGACTGAGAGGCAAATGGAGATTAATGCTTGTAGGCGTGGGGGGGTATGCTTAACCGCCATTGTTCTCAAGAACAACTGTGGCAGAAAGGTCGATGAGAAGTATAGCTGGGACACATTCCCTGAGGGACACTTGTTGTTAAAGGACAGTAAAGGAGTGTGAAGTAGTCATGGGTCCTGAGTCCATAGCTTGGTGCCCGGTAACACCCACAAGGCTAAGAGATGTTGGACCTGGGCTGTGCATCTGTTGGAAGGAGACGGATTGCTGCTGACTGGAGACCACGAGCCAGGACAGAAACAGGGAGAAACAGGGCTGGAACAACTGTAGCTGCTGCAGGCCTTGGGGTTTACCAGAGGCACCAGAGCCCCCGAGGATAGCAGGGCCACCCTGTAAAGGCTTCTGGGATTCCTGGGGCCTCAGAGGGATTCTTTGAAGGACCCCTGGGGCCCTAGTTCTGGCTGTAGCCACACCTACCTCCTCTTTGGCGATCCTCATGTTGTCTGTAACGTCCGAGAAGACAGTGGGTTTGATGAACAGCCCCCTGTCTTCCATGGCTGAACCCCCACATTCTAGCTTGGCCCCTTCTTTCTTCCCACTCTCGATCAGCTCAAGGATTTTGTCAAACTGCTTTTGATCGATCTGCAGAGCACAGAAGGGAATTATAACCACCTCCTTCCAAGAGGGGACTGCTGTGTTTTCAGTGGCCCTCAGCACCAACCAGCGGTCCTCTGCCCTGCGTCCTTGTCAAGTCCTAGATCAGAAAACAGACAGCCTCGTGGGCAGATCGTCCTCTCATGCACAAACCTGGATGCTTTGAAGCAAGGAGCCACAGGGAAGTTGACTGTTCTCACCTTCAACTTGAGGTCTTATTCACATTTCTAGTTCTCCATTTCATGCTGAGAGGCCAAGTGTAAGTGTGAAAAGGGTTCTGAAACGGCTGCATTCTCTCAGATCTTGGCATTATGCTAGAATTACTGGGTTTGACAGGTAAAAACACGGGATGCCCAGCTAGATAAAACGCATGATCACTTTTAGTGTAAGTATGCACCAAATGGCATTTGGGATATATTTAAGCTAAGATGCCTTCAGTGTGTCTAAAATTCAAGTCTAGTGGTGCCAGTATTTAGCTGTGTACCATAGATGGGGGAGTGTGTACTTGTTGGAATTATCCTATCAGAGTACAGAGGAAGGAGGAGGGCTGAGCACTTGACTCAGCATTCCTGGGCACAGTGATGTGAGCTTCATGGTAGGGGATGGGTTCTGCTTCTTGGCTGGAGGGAAATGAACTCAGAAAGATTCTGATAGCGCCTCGTTGGCTCCAAGGTGCCCTATGCCACAGACCACAGGTACTCAACCACCTGTCAAAAGGCCACCTCTCCTGGGGATGGCTCAACGTGGAAGGTGCTCTTTCGTTCTCTCTTTCTGTTCTCATTCACAGTCTTCTTCCTCAAATCCAAATGCTCTTATCATGACCCAGTTGATGGTTTCCTCCCTCCCAAGTTGAGAGACACAGAATTTAAGCAAATGCTGTTCCTGTTCCTGAGGCTTTTAGATAGGAAATTTGGTTCCATTCCAGTAACATTAAGTAAGGGAAAAGAATTCAGGGCCCAGGAGATGGCTCAGTTGGTAAGACATGAGGAGCTGAGTTCAGATCTCTGGAATCTATGCAAAAACCTGGGTGTGGTGAACCATACCTATAGTCCTCTCAAAAAATAGGGTGCACATCGATAGAGGAAAAACTTGACCTGGATCTCTGGCCTCCACACAGATGTATAGTACATGCACACACACATGTAAACATGGCTGCACACACACACACACACACACACACACACACACACACACACACATGGGTATACCACAAATATGCTCATGTAGAAAAGGATGGAAAGTAAATAAACCCATCTCAAGTAAAGAAAGTTCTTTGAGTTTCTTTTTAAGGAACAACAACAACAAAAAGAATCAGATGGTAGAACCAGCACCATCTCTTTCGCATAGAGATGGGGAAGAAATCCAAGAGCATTATAATCACTTTTGTTTGCCCACCTGTAAGAAAGTCCTGAAGGGGTATGCCAGGAATAAAGACACTCGAGCCCTACTGTGGGGAGAGGTAAGAATGAGTATTGGTGGGGTGGCACTGGGGGAACCCCTTCTCTAAAGTCCTTGCCCACCATTAGGATGTGCTGACATACCCACGAAAAGTAAGGGAAAATATCAAGACACATGCATTTCCACGCTCTGTCAGCCTGTCTCTGTCTGGGTGAACCACACCTGGGCTTAAAAGTTCCAGGCGGGGCTGGGGAGATGTCCTGCAAGTCACGGTGCTGGCCACGAAGCCTGACCACTTGAGCTCAATCCTGGGCTCTGCAAGGGACCCCACAGTAGAAAAAGACAGCTGTCCTTGCCAAGCTGTCCTCTGGTCCCCACATGAGCACTGTGGCATGAGCATCCCACACATACACACAAAGGTATATGCGTGCAAATTAAACAAATGAATGTTACTTAGTACAATTTTTAACATGTGAAGAACAGTCCCGCACGTTACGAAACCTCTCTCCTCCTAGGGGGCCCACATAGCTCACTGGAGCAACTCCCTCAGGCCTCAGGTCTTGGCTGACTCGAACTACATTGTACCGACAGACCCCATCTTCTCCAGGCAGCAGGGGTCCCTGTCAGATCACCTATACACCCAGACTCCACCCCCGTGAGTCCCCATAAACTAAACACGTTGTTTAAGTCTAACAGCCATCTATGAAATGTCAGCTGGTGCCTGCAGCACAGGAAGGGAGATCTGGCAGGAAGTGAGTTGACAGGGCGTGGCACAGCACCAGAAGTGGGAAAAAGATGGCTCCCACAGGACTTTCCACGGCTGTGCTTGCTCTGCAGAGGATATGCCTCCGGATCCCGAGCAGGCCAGGTGGCCTCCTTGCTTGGCTGCCAAGCTAACCCGAAAGATGATGGAGTGTTCCAGCAAGCGGTCTCCAGCCCTGGCCCCCTATCTAGGTCAGCTAGCTCTTCCACAGGCCTGAGACGGACAGGAGGGTTTAGGCAGCTGGTCACCCTTGCAGAGTCAAACCTTAAAGGTCTTGGAAGGAGGAAAGCTGTCATCAGGACCCTAACATAACATCCAGGGTAGATAACGAGCTCCGAAGGGACTCAGCATGGCAGAGAGCAGGTGGAATGAACGCCCACTCCCCGGAAGAGTCTGTGCATCTATCTGGCCCCAACGCCACACTGGAGACTTGGGAAGAAAAGGAAGGAAATGATAGGAGGAAAAGCTGTGCTTAGTGTGTCTCCCACCCATTCTAGATTACCTCTAAAGCTTGTGGATTCGATACGGATCTGTGGCCATGTTTGCACTGAGGCCCTGACTACCTTGTGTCAGGACTTCAGGGATTGTGGTTGAGATTGGGGATGAGGGGTGTACACAGCTTCCCTGCCAGGGACAGAGGATGCCAGAGCCACAGGGCACATGGTCTGGGGTCAGGGTTGGTGTTGCCTTGGCCAGAAAATCTCCCCTCCACTTCTTCCCTAGCCAGCATCCACACAGTGTGGTTTGACAAAACTGACTGAGATGTCCTGAAATCATGCAGGGATGTGTGTGCCTCCTAGGTCAGAGACCCACCAGTCAGTTCTTCCCCCCTTAGAACAAATCTATCCCCTCTGCTGAGTACTCCCTGGTGATGCGACACCCTCTATGACTCCCATTTCCCAGATGAGGAAACTAAGGCCCGGAAGGAACAAAGTCCCAGAGCCTAGTTTGAGCTCAGAAGCTTCCTGTGCAAACACTTGGTGCCGACTCAGGGGTAACCCATGAACGTCTGGGATAGGCAGTGGTTGATAAGTCTGGATATGGCTAAAACCTGAGGGTTGAGCACAAGTCTGGAAGAAGGTGGAGGCTGCCACCGAGCTCTGTGGCAATAGTGCAGGGACAGTCAGGCTGCCCTCTTGAATATCCATCCACCCATCGGCTTCACTTCATTAACAAGAGAGCCACACAGGATGTGCCCTTTACAAACGTTATCAAACTCTGTGGTTATGGCCATTTGCATCCTGTCCAGGCTTCCCAAACCAGGCCTGCAGAAACTGTTCCCATTGCCCAGGATATAACAGTTCAATCCCTAGAGTTTCACTCCCCTCTGGTCCCTGAAGGTTATCTCATGCTATAGCCTTCTGGTCCCTGAGGGTTATCTCATGCTATAGCCTTCTGGTCCCTGAGGGTTATCTCATGCTACAGCCTTCTGGTCCCTGAGGGTTATCTCATGCTACAGCCTTCTGGTCCCTGAGGGTTATCTCATGCTGTAGCCCTCTGGTTCCTGAGGGTTATCTCATGCTACAGCCTTCTGGTCCCTGAGGGTTATCTCATGCTGTAGCCCTCTGGTTCCTGGGTGTTCTCTCGTGTTGTAATGCATGTGGCCTTGAGGGCCCAAGTCAAAAATTGTCAGTCATTGCCCCAGGCTGCAGCTCCATTTCCTGACAAAACCAAGCTATCAGCTTCTACATGGAAGCCTCTAGTGACAGACAGCACACACCAGCTCCTTCCCTTGGAGGAGGAGCCCTGTCTGTGGCCACACTTCTGCCTTGCTCAGCCCGCAGTGGGGTGTCACACATGCTTCTGGTTGTTGGTGGGTTACCTGGGGTCCCTGCTCCGTTTTGGCATCGAAGGGATCTCCAACTGGCCTCTTCTTGGCATACTCCACACTCCTCCTCACAAACTCCCCGTAGACCTGCTCTTCCACAAACACCCTGGAGGCTGCTGTGCAGCACTGGCCTTGGTTGAAGAACACTCCTTGGTGAGCACACTCCACCGCCAAGTCCACTGGGGGCCAGGGGAGGCGAGAGGAAGTGATTAAGTTGTTACGGCAGCCTGGCGACAGCTGCAACTCTAGTTGCCCCCGCAGGAAAACGGCCCCAGATGACTGCGCTTCAGAAACTAATTTTTCATTCTCAGCGCTTCCCAAAGCAGAGGATTTTAGATCCATCAAGTTCGAATTAAGTGAGTCCAAGAAGCAAGACTTCTCAGCGCCATTAACACGCCAATGGTGCAGATCTGGGACACTTTCCAGCTCGTCTGTCCATGGGACCCCCACCCCAGCTTTCCTGTCTGACCCTGGGGACAGTCTGGGGGACTGTACCCCAGCAGGGTTGTAACAGAACAGTCTCACAAGGCTCACAGTCCTCCACGAACCTCACCCCTGAGGCTGGGCCAGGGGCTAGGCTCAAACGCCACTGCTTAAGACACCAATTCATTTCCTGGTCCCTGGTGAGAGCCAGGGAAGATGAGTGAAGTGGCAGAATGGTGTGTGACACCCTGGACAGTATGTCAGGACTTAATTTTGGGGAATGGTGCTGCCTGGAGGAGGAGGCAGGAGGAAAAGGTGGTGGGTTTGGGGGGGGAGGGGCGGGGGAGGGCCACGCCCTGGAAAACCAGACCTTACACAGCTTGCTTCTGGCGCTTTGCTGTGGGGTTCGCTCCAGGGAGTGGACAGCAGGGGGGGACTCCGGCTATGGTGACCCAAGTACATAAAGCAGTCCTTGGTTCTTTGGGATGGGAGTTTGGGACCCCAAATGTGAGTCACAGTAGGAAACATATAAAAACTGTTCCACGTGACTGCAGCAGTGACGTTCCTCAGGCAAGAGCTGGGCAACCGCTCCCTACAGCCTCCCCAGTTTCCTTCCGCAATCCTCTCTCCCACTGAAAACCAGCTTTAGGGAAAGGAATGGCTACCACTCCTTCACGTGTCTGAGTGAGAAATTGTGCCAGTGTCATTATTTCTCAGGGCTATTTTTGATTCCGGTCTTATCTGAGTGTGAAATAGAAGGCTTTGTTCTCTGTGGCAGGGATTTCTGGCACCAGCGGACAGTGGAGGAGGCCGCGCTCTTCAAAGCCTAGGTGCTCTAAGGCCTTTGAGGAGTCATGCCTTTTGAGAAGTGACCTAGACATCAGGTGACCTAGCGGTCAGGTGACTGGATGCCCAGGTGGTCCTCTCTGCCCTCTACTGGGCATAGCAGCCAGTGATAACATACATTGCAATGTTGTGTCACACAGCTCTGGCAAGACCCTAGATGCTCCCTGCTGCTGTGCGGGTGGTTTTCCCAGGGAAGAGGTGACACGGGGGTGTTCTGAAAGGTCAGCAAGACTGTCCTCCAGCGTGTCAGGCCCAAGACAAAGAAGAAAGAAACACTTCGACTCTTTCAAGAGCCTAAGAACAAGCACCACAGTGATACTGACTTGAAGGATAGAAAAATAGATGCCCAGAATGGGAAACTTGCCTCCTCCTTCCCCAGCCCAGAAGGGCCCCTGCAGGAGGAACCGGGCTTGGTCTTGGGCTCCTCCCATGGCCTCTATCTCCTTAGGTGCAGAACGGTAAGCTTAGCCTTCAGGGGCACACCCTTTAGCATCTGTGAGCCACATGCCCCTCTCCCCTTGGTGTTCTTCCCTCCCATAGGCCTGGGCCTGAGGGGACAATGGGTGGCCCATCCCACTGTGTGAGTATGCTGCTCTTTTCATGGGTCCTGAACGCACACCAGGAAATGAGCAAAGACCGACGGCCCCGGTGACTCACGGTCGGCATCGGCACACACGATGCAGGGGTTCTTGCCCCCCAGTTCCAGTGTGACTCTCTTCAGGTTACTCCGGGAGGCGGCTTCTTTAACCAGCTTTCCGACCTTCAGGGTAAGAAGCAGGCTTTGTTGACTCTTAGACACAGTGAACTTGGCCCCAGGAGATGACACCTGCCTCAGGGAAGCACCCAGGCCTGGTGCCTCACATTGTCACATAGCCTGGGCTTCCCAGGCTGGCCACTGCCGCTGGGCACCTTGCTAGTGACAGCCAAGACTCTGCCAGCCCTTTGTGGAGGTCATGCTGATTCGAGGGGACTGTCAACTGGGGGAAACAGCAAATACGGCATGTGGCCAGTTCTCTGGAACCCTTTAAAGACTGAGCCCACCTTGGGAGGAGGAGGAAGGAGAGCTGGTAGCTGATATAGTGCTTCAGGACAACACTCACAAGCACTCTGACGGGGTCTCTCTGTGCCCTGGGTACACAGATAGAGGGACATCTGACCTACCATGACTCCTGACACATCCTGGTCAGACACAAAGAACCTCTGAGCTGGGAAAGACCCAGGAGACCAGAGCAGACCCCACAACTTAGATCTGGGTAGCTCAGAATGCACAGTGCCAAGACTGCTTAATGTTACGTGGGGAAATGGTGGCCATAGGCCATGATCTAATTTTGACAGGAATCTCTAAGCATGCTCACCCTGGCTGCCAAAGGGGAGCACAGAAGTGGGGTGGGTAGCAGGCTCCTAGCCAGACTAGATATCTCAGAGATGTCCATTTCTCCCATCATTCTGCTTGGCTTCTTTTTTATTGATTTTTAGGTGCTCTTCACATATGAAGGATATATAAACATTTAGAGAGCTACATGGAGTACGACTGGTTTTCTACCAGCCTGTTTATCATCTCTTAGCCTTAGTTATGATATTGTTTACTATACAGATGTCTGACATTTTTACTTTATCTTATCTCTCATTTATTTTTTTAAAGCTTCCAAATTCTATTAACTATTTATTTAGTTTGGGAACTGGAACAGTGACATTTTACTAATAGAACATAGTTAGGGTTAGAAAAAAAGAAGCAAATGGTATTTGAGCTTCTCAAAGAAATGCCTGTGGGTTCCAAATAACAGAGAGGCTGCTGTGCTTGCCAGCAGCTCACAAAGAGGGCTTACCTCTGTGGACCCTGTGAAGGCTATCTTGTTGATCTGTGGATGAGAGGAGATTGCTGCTCCCACGGTGGGCCCGAAGCCTGGCACGATGTTCACCACACCTGGAGGGAACCCGACCTGGGAGGAACAGACATGGGATCAGAGGATCAGAGGGGCAGCACCATCTACAGGGGTGGCGAGAGCTGTTTAAACCATGTCATGTCTCCAAGTAGAGCAGCATCCTCAAAGGGAAACTGGGCATCCGCATCAGGGGACCCCTCCTCTCCAATGAGCTGGCCTCCTAATCCAAGACAGGGTGCAAGCACTTAGGTGAATCGATGATCATCCTCCTCCTGGAAGAGCCTCTCATCCCAGCAGGGACCAGAGGCAAAGGTTCAGGAATGCCACTAGGTGGCAGCGGCCCTCTTGTATATGATGGCGTGTGTGTGTGTGTGTGTGTGTGTGTGTGTGTGTGTGTGTGTGTTGGGAAGAGTGTATGTGCACGTATGTGTGTGTGCTTGTATGTGTATATATGTGAACATGAATGTGCATATGTGAGAATGTGTCTTTACGGGCGTAAGAGAGCATGGGAACATGAAAGCATGTATGTGCATTTGTGAGAGAGCCTGGGTTTGTATGAACATATGAGTACAGAGTGTGTGGATGGATGCACCTGTATGCACCTGTATGTGTGTGAGAGATCATATGTGTGTCTGTGTGTGCATGTATGTATAAACATGTGAATATGAGAACATATGTGACTTGTGTGTGACTGTGTGTAACTATGTGTGTGTGTGTGACTATATATGTGGGTGTTGAGGGAAGGAGCAGTCCCTTGGTCACACACCCATCCAGATTGTCTATGCCCCTGCCAAGCCAGTGTTGGCTCTTACCCTGCTCCACACTCATCCAGGTAAAATGAGAAATCCTTCCCCTTGCTGGCCCCACCGGGCTCATCCAGGATTGGCAGGATGTTAGGGTTAGGGTATGGGTTAGGGTTAGGGTTAGGGTTAGGGTTAGGGCTAGGGCTAGGGCTAGGGCTAGGGCTAGGGCTAGGGCTAGGGTTAGGGTTAGGGTAAGGGTTAGGGTTAGGGTTAGGGTTAGGGTTAGGGATGCTGATTCTCCCATACTCACACTCATACAGGGCACGTATGAGAGACCTCCCCTTTAACAAGACTCCCACCAACCTAACGAGGTAGAAGGTGCTATTCCCAACACGGCTGGGTCTTGCCTATGTCTTTCTTTTGAAAATGCCCTTTTAGGGCAATGTTTGAATCTTTCATTTCCTAGGCATTAGTGTGTGACAGCTGTGACGCTGGGGTCCCAGAGCCTCTTTCATATGATAAAAGCATGTCCTGTGTGTTTATCAGGAAGGTGAGAGCTGCCGGATTCCAGAGGCCCCAGCTGCCCTCGGCAGTCCAGCAGGTACTTCCCGGCTGCCGCAGTCCGGCTGGGAACGGAACGAAGGGGCGGCCTTTCTTCCTGTTCTTTCTATCTTTGCTGTATGCACACCGATGATCGAACGGCTGAAATATGTTGCCAGGTGTGTCTGGCAGGTGTCCCTCCAGGCCACTGCTTCCCTGAGTTGTGGCTCCCTTGGGGTGGGGAGGACAGTGTGGAGGCTCTTGGGGACCTATGCACAGCTGCAGCTACCTCGCTAGCTGGCCAGGCCACCCTTCCCAGGGGAGGAAGGACCTTTTCACATCTCATTTCCCCCGAGGCCAGGACCTGTGGAGTTTGGGGCTCCCTTTTTTGGCCCCTCCTGCAAATGCTCTAGATAAAACAGTGCTAACTACCAGTTTGTGACTTAATGAGACAGACAGGATTGTGTTAGGAGCACGGGGAGGGGCAGAAGCTTCCAGATCAAATACCGCAAGCAAAAGCAGTCATGTCCTTCCCTCTGCACCATGAGCTGGTGGACACCCCCCCATCGCGGATTTTCATGGTTCCTAGCTTGTGGGTGTGGGGATCTATCCGGAATACATACTACCTTCTTTTCAGACTACTAACCTCTTTGATGAGAGAGCCAAGGTACAGGGCGGTGAGGGGTGTCTGCTCAGCAGGCTTCAGGACCACAGTGTTCCCGCAGCACAGGGCAGGAGCCAGCTTCCAGGCCAGCATCAGCAGGGGGAAGTTCCACTGTGCCAGAGCATGAGAAGGGGACCCTGAGGCTCAGGTCCACTGTGCCCCCAACCCGGAGCCCGCCTCCCTCTGTGGAGGACATCTCCTTTGCTTGGCTGAATCGGGCTTCCAAGGATAGCACTGGTGTGTGCAAGACTACAGGAGTCCAGTGCTTCTCAGGGGCCCCTAGAGATGCTGATGCAGGCTAGTTCTGTCCTGCGCTCCTTCCCATTCCCTCCAAAATGCTTGCCAAAGGGGTGGCATTTTCCTCGTCTCCTCTGTCCTCATTCACTCAGCTGCTGTGGAAGTGGGCCAGGACTTCCCAAACAAGAGAGGCAGCACTGAGTTCCCCAACCTGCACAGGTCTCAGCGGCCTCGGATCACAGGCTGTGCGAACGGTCCTGCTATCTGCCAGTGTGCTCCGCCTAGCCTAAGCTCCCACTCACCAGCCTTCCTCTGCTTCCTTCCAAGGAGGCGGCCAACCCGTGCCTTTGCCAGGCAGGTACCACTGCTTACAAAGCCCTCTTCCCTGCTGATCAAACTTTCTTATTTTCCAGCTCCAGTAAAGAGACTCTTCATCTCAGAGGAGCAGGCCACTCTGACCACTGTGCCGGAATCTATCATGCCTCCTGCCATACACCCTGAACCACCCTGGGCACCCTTATGCACAGAGCCCCGTGCCCCTAGCCTGCACTCAGTCCGTGGTGGTTGTGGTGGACAGAAACAGAGTCTGTGACTGTAAACTTCCATACTCACTGGTGTAATGGCCCCACACACCCCGATGGGCTCGTGCCTGGTAAAACACACAACGTTGTTATCTGGAAGACAGGTGACAGAGGGAAAGAATACAGTCATGGTGAAGGATTTCACAAGGGCCCACGTTGTTGGTGCACACCTTTAATCCCAGCACTTGGGAGGTAGAAGCAAGTGAATTTCAGGGAGTTCAAGGTCAGCCTGGTCTACATTGCAAGTTCCAGGACAGCCAGAGCTACATAATGGAAAGACCCTATCTCACAAAAACAAAACAAACAAACAAGCAAAAAACCAACCCCACAAGAAACAAACATAAAAGACTTTCACATGGAACGCTATAAGAAAGAAACGGAGAAGCCTGCAAAGGGGCCGGGTCTTATCCGTCACACAAAGAAGTGATTTGAGCTCTGTTCAGAGCAGGAATTGAGTTCCCCAGAGGAAGCCACCTGTTGCCATGTGGGGAGAGGGCAGTGGGAAGGATGCCCCACAGGGAAAAGGGCCTAGAGGGAGGAGCAGACAGACTCCCCAGTAGACCCAAGCGAGGCTCCAATCTATCCTAGGGGCTCACCTGTGGGGATGGTCCTGCCCTGGATTTTGTCTGCCCACCCGGCAAAGTATCTGAAGGTCCTAATGCAGCCCTCCAGGTCGACAAAGAAGGCTTGGAGGAATGGCTTCCCGGTGTCCATTGTCTCCAGAGTCTGCAAAAACAAGATGGCTCCTTTTGTAGACATGCTTTTCTTTTCTCTTCCGGTTGTTAAGTAGAGGGGTGCAGGGGAAAGCCCAGCCCTAGGGCAAACACTACACCTCAGTCTTACACACCACTTCAGAAAGCCTGCCTCTCCATTGAAATGGACCTGCCCCCTACCGGCAAGGACTGGCCAGCCTTTCTGCCTGTCTCCCTTGCTGCTCATTTGAAGGTGTGCTGGGTGCCAGCCACTCTGGCGTTTGCTCTTCCATCCAGAGCAGTCTCCACTGTACCATCCAGACATGCAAATCCGTGCACCCCAGGGAGCTTCCAGAAGTTTGGCTAAAAAGAGGGTGGCTTCTTCTAACCAAAGAGAAAGGGAAGGCGTTGTTGGCTTTGCCTTCTCAGCTGAGCGGGTTAGTGTGGCAGTGGAAAGAATGACTAGAGTTCAGGAGGGTCAAGCCACCACCACAAAGATGCAGTGCTCTCCAAGCGGGCTGCAGGCCGGATGCGGAAACAGAGCAGGGAGGGCAAGCTGGCGGGGCTAGGCGGTCACCCAGGCCACGGTGCCCCTGCTCAATATTGGGATTCTTTTCTATTTCTAGCCTGGGTGAAAGAAACCCCTTTGTCTCTTCACACAGGCAGCCCTGTGGAGCGCTATGCTGAAACCTCCAGTTATCCAGCTTCACAGGAAGTGTCCACCGGATCCTGATTGTGTTGCCTAGGGCTGGATTCCTGCTGAAGTGTCTATGGGACTAGAGGATGCTGGAGAGAGGAAGGGAGGAGCCTCCTCATTCCTTACCCAGGGTTTTATCCCCAAAGCACTTGCCTATGTCGTATGGCATGCTGGTTGTCTCTGTTTCCATTAGAAGACGAAGGGGCAGACAGGCTAGCAGGGCCCAGTGACTCCCTCAGGCTAGCCAGCCAGCCAGCACTGATGTCCAGCCATCTCAGCCAGCACTGGTTAGGCGGCTGTCCCTAGGTATTTGGAAGGCTTAAGATATTCAGGGCTCTTCTGTCTGACCTTTGCTTCTTTCTCTGTGTGTGGTACATGCATGTGTGTACATGTTCATGTGTGCGTGGACACATGTGCATATGGGTGTGTACGCATCTAGAAGCTTCCTCAATCACTGGCCACCTTATTTTTTGAGACAGTCTCTCCTTGAGCCTGGAGTTCACTGATTTAACTAGACTGACTGGCTGGTAAGCTCCAGGGTTCCCCTGTCTCTATCTCCCTACATCTGGGATTTACAGGTACATCCTGTCATGACTAGCTTTTTAAATGATGCTAAGGATCCAGACTCAGGTCTTCATGTCTGTGCAGCAAACACTGTTAACTGAGCCATCTTCCTAGTCAGAGGAGCCATCTGCCCTGGCTGATGCTGGCTGAGCCCCCCAATGTCTTCCACCTCAGTTACATGCTCATGACAGCATTTCCACCCTCTTGGGGCTGATATGCGAGTTAATGGAATCAGGGAACACAACACTCATGTAAACAACCCACTGCAATGCAACCGTCCAGGTGCTAATGCAACCGTCCAGGTGCTCAGCTTCCTCTTCAGCACTGGACAAGTGCATGGTGATCCTCAATACGACTCTGAGGAAGAAGGACTTGGACTTTCTTAAGATGACATATCTTGGTTAGTTCTGACTGAGGCCTGCGTCATACCCACAGCATCAACCATTTGGAGGCCAGCGTGACACCCAGTACCCTGTACCTTTGGCCCCTGTGGATTGTCATCCAAGTTGGCACCTTCATTTCCTGAGGAGAAACCTAGCATTTTCAAGAATGTCCAAAGGCCCCCAGCTCTGTGAAGTTCCCAAGAGCCTGCGCACACCTGTGCATGAAGCCACAGGTCTGTCTGTTCTTGGGTCCTTGCTGTGATATGGCAAGGGAGAGGACATAGATGGATCATTGTGGGAAAGTTTGCGACATGGCAACCGTCTGTCTCTCATCCTGGATTTCTACGTCTGGCTGGGTGGCCTTGGACAGGGCACTAGCTTTTTCTGGGCCCTAACTTCCTGACTTTAAAATGAGATAGTACACACTACAAGCCCAGAGCCTACAAATCAGCTTCTTGGAGGGCATTCAATAAGCATTGCCCACAGATTCTTAAATCCTTAACTTAGGCAAGATTGCTTAGTAGAGCAATAGCTTGAAATTTCTAGGTTGGTTGTAAAGTATCTGTACAAACAAACTCAGTTCACAATACACTTAGACAGCAAGTTCTTTAAAGGGAGGGGAGGCTAAGGAGATAGCTCAGTTGGTAAAGGGCTTGCCTTCCAAGTATGAGGGCCCGAGTTCAATCCTCAGGACCCATGTTTAAGAAAAGCCAGGTATGGTAGCACAGTCTTGTAATTCCTGCATGAAAATGGCTGCTGAGACAGGTCCCTAGGGCTCACTGGTCAGCAGGCCTTGCCTAGTTAGTGAACTCCAAGCCAATCAGAAATTCTATTTAAAAAACACACAACAACAACAACAACAACAACAACAAAAACTAAGTGTGTTGCTCCCGTGGAACAGCACACACACACACATTGAAACACGTGCATGTGTATCTACATTCACATGTTGTGCTGGCTAGTGTTTTGTGAGCCTGACATAAACTAGAGTCATTTGGGAAGAAAACGCCTCAGTTGAGAAGATGCCCTCCTCATCAGAGTGGTGGGGGCATTTCTGGATTAGTGGACGATGGGGAAGGCCCACAGCTTACTGTGGGCAGTGTTGCAGTGCACAGTTAATCCTGGATGGTGTGAGAAAGCAGGCTGCGAAGCCATGAGGAGCAGGCCATTGGGCATCACACATCCACAGCCTCTGCCTCAGCTCCTGCCTCCAGCTCCTGCCTTGAGTTCCAGTCCTGACTTCCTCCGTGATGGAGTGTGACCCGAGAGCTGTAAGCTGAAATAAACCTCCTCAAGTTGCTTTTTTGACGTGGCGTTTTTATGACAGCAATAGAAACTCTAAGACACATGTGCATCCTCACATGCACAAAAAAAAAAAAAAAGAAGAAAAAGATGAGGAGGAGGGAGAGGAGGAGACTGGAGTTAGAGGATTGAGCTTGAGGAATCAAATGTTAGCGCCTGACAGAAACAGATGGCTGTCCTGTGACTTACCGCTGTGGTTCAAACACGAGCCACCTCAGCCACTCCCAGGCTTACTCTCCCCAGCGTACTAAGAGAAAAATGCCCCTTCTGAAAGATGAATGCGTCTCGGCATTCAGAGGCTGCAGGACAAGAAAGTTCTGGGATGGCTTCCCCGATGCCAGTATGCTCAGACTGCAAACAAGGGTCGGGAAATGGCACCTAGGTTGAAAGGTTGGTCTTCCATGGGGTGGGGGAGCTATTTGACACCTAGGTAGATGAGCACCCAAAAGTCTACAGCTTGGGCCCAGGGTGCCTCAACAGAGCTGGAAAACCACGAGTCACCGAGGCCCCCACATCTGTTTCCAAACTTTGAACACAGAGTAAACACCCAGCTCCATCAAAACCACTGAGCTGGCCAGAGAATATGACAGAATAAAGCACTTTGTGGCTCGAAAAGGCAGGAAACCATATCAAGGTAGAGAGGGAGGGGCGCCTTCCTGTGATGTGGTCAGAATTTTCAAAGCCGTATTTCCCAGTCATTCTTGGGTCCCTTTAATGTTGTGGCCAAGAGCTGGATCTTATTTCTTGTGGGCAAGCAGGTTGCAGCGGCAGGAGCGATGTGCCGGGTGCTGTCCCTAGTCCTCCCACCTGTGGCTGTTGGCTACCAAAGCGCTGCCGTGCCAGGGTGATGGGGCAGGCTGCAGAGGAAGGTGGCCTTGCCCGGGGTGCACCACGGATGGTGCCGACACTTGAGGACTGGGTGGGGAGGGTTGCCCAGGGCACATCCTCTTGAGCCTGCTATTAGTGCTCACGGACATTGCAGACTGATGAGCTCATGCGGGGGAAAACAGAAATGTTTTTGAAAAAGCCAGTTTGGCAGCTTGAACAGTGCGGCTGGTTTTCGGTGCAGGAAGAAAGCCTAAGCTCTCTGGAGCTTTTACCCTGGGAGGGAGCTATACTCACTCAGATTCAGTCCTGGGAACAGGAGGCCTAGCAACTGGGAGGAAGGAAACAGTGCTCAGGCTATCCACAGATCCCTCTCAAGGAGAGCTCCCCTAACCCCAAGGAGCACACTCAGGACACAGGCAGTTCAGTGTCCTGCCTGATACCGTTCTTCAAAAGGGTTTTCAACATCGAAACCATTTTTCTAAATCAAAGACTGAAAAGGAGATGTTCCTTCCTACAAAATGGGCCTCAAGGTTTGAAACAAAAATTTATCCAAGAAATTGAACTGTACAACAGCTAGAGTGAAGGTTGTGATGGTTTCAAGCTGAGGGGCCGGTGATACAGCCTTGGGGCAGGTGCTTGCCACCTGACCTTGGGAGCCAACTCCTAAAAGTTGTCCCTTGACCTCCACAAATGCAAGCGTGCACACACACACACACACACACACACACACACACACACATTCCCAACACATAATGACTAAAAGCATTTAAAAAGCAAAAGACTTTGTATGGCCCAGTGATGTCTTCTGGTCATCTACCTCAGGACCAAAGGAGGGCTGAATCTTGTTGCAGTGCAAGCTTACAACTTATTAAGGCCTTCCCTGCCTGGAAGCATTTGTGTCCTGCCCATGGGTAGGCAGTTTTGCTATCCATGTCCTTATGTCCTAGCAGAGGAGCTAAGGTCTCTAAGTTACTGCTCAGCAGAGAGGCGAGCAGCTTGGGTCAGAGCCTAGGGTTCTGTAGCATCAACGTGATGAGTGCTATTATTTATAATAACTACTTATGCTGGGGACCCTGCTGACTTCAAATGCCCCCCCAATACTTGGATATCACTATCTATGGCATTTTACCTGAAGAAAATAATCTCAAGCAGTAAAAAAAAAAAACCCAGCATATAATCAGTAAGTGGCACAGCTGGGATTTGAACCCAGACCTATTGGCCTTCTATAATCAAGTCTTGTCCTTGCCAATGTTATGGAGTTGTTTACCACTCTCCAGTTCAGGGGTGACACAGGAATGCATTTAGATAATACAAGGTCCTGGATTTTCTATAAACAGTGTCATTTACTTTAATAATTCAAACAGAAGGACCACAACCAACTCATTCAGTCTGTGGTCTCATGCATATTCTACGATGCCTGAAAACTTCAGGTAGTGCCTCATCCCTAAATACATACTGCATTTTTTCCCTTATTAAGTTGCTACAATAAATCTTAGTTTATAAGTTACCAAAAGAGATGAGAAACAGCAACTAATAAATGAAATTACAATAGCTCATTGCAATACAAGGTCAATTGCTTATTTCTAGGATTTTTCCATGTAACATTTTCGAGCTGGTGGGTGTCTCTGATAATGAAACCTCAGATAAGGGGAGACTAGCATAACTATGATGAGGTTATATTTATGTTTGCAAGGAACGTAATGTGGAAAAGAAAACAATTAATACATAAATGTCTGGGCGAGGTCAGGTGAGCTCAGCCTTTAGTGACCAGCTGTGAACGTCCCTAGACTGGGAACCATTGAGACGGGGAACTTCCTTTATACAGCTTGGCCAAGAAGCTGAGCTGCAAGGGAGAAAGTCTGACTTCAAGATGAAATGGATAAAGTCCTGAGGCATCCCAAGACCAAACAGACCCATGGACACACAACACAAGCACCTCAGACGTTTCCAGCCGCACCGCACGGGGATAGGCGCCCCCCACCCCCGTGAGGGGAATAGTGAGGACTGTCCCCCAACACCTGCCCGGTGCCTGTACTCACTGCCAGGATCGCACGGTCCCTTTCCACAAGATCGGCCAGCTGTTGCAGCAACTGGCCTCGCCTCCGGGCATCCAGCTGGCGCCACGGTGAGCCCCGCTGGAAGGCAGCTTGTGCGGCCTCCACGGCCTTGTCCACATCGGGCTGCACGGCAGAACAACAGAGAGAGTGTGTCGCTTTACATGTGTCTGAGGGCACAGAAGACAGCAGTTGCCTTGCTGTGGAGCCAAGGAAGGATGGGCAGTCCAAGGCTTCAAGCCACAAGTTTTTAAATCCTTTGCATGACTGGGGTCTTCCAAGTATTTTTTTTTCTTTACATGATAAGTCTTTAAAATATTTCTATAATGGCCAAATATTAATGTTTTATAGAGTCATTGACTTCAGTTCTAAAGGACTTTTCAGGGCAATGAGGCGATACCTGAGCTGGCATAAGTGTTTGCTGTGAAAGGCTAAAGATCCAAGTTCAAGACCCAGGACCCACAGTGCAAAGAGAGCTCCCGAAAGTTGCCCTCTAACCTCCCAGTGAACACACAGGAATGTGTGCAGGCACACACATACTACTAATAAAAATACTAAAAAGATTTTCTATGTGTCAGCTCCATTTCAACACACATAGAAACCACCGTTTCCACACCAAATGTACTTATGGAAGAAAAACAGCCACGGGTCTTTGCGATTGTGTGTGTGTGTGAGTGTGTGTGTGTGTGTGTGTGTGTGTGTGTGTGTGTGTGCTGAGAATTGAATTGAAGCCTTGCAATGGGCTAAACAAACCTTCCACTACTGAGCCTTGCCCCCCTCCATCTTTTCAAAGAACAGAAGGGAGAGGTATGCAGAGAGCCACCTGTACTCATTTCAGGAAAATCTGGCTGCTGATAGGCAATGTCTCACCCTGCCCCGAGCCTGTCTCTCTAGGTAAAGTGACAGGTAGTTGATGAGGACCCCAGTTAGAAGTCTCAGCCAAGACCATCACCAAAGCCTTCATGGAATGAGGGCATGCTTTAGCAAGGGAAATGTTGGATACTGTGGTTCTCGTCCTGGCTCCTGAGGGGAGGCCAGGGCCTCTTCTGCTGCAAGGGATGGGTAGCCTCTGGCTCTGGGTGTATGGAGTAAAATGTTTATCCAGGTGATGGGAGGAACCAGACCCTGCCACCCGGTTCCCACTTTCCTCCTGGGGTTTATCAACCATACACCCCTTTCCCTCCCAGTTTCCTCCCTATTTCTTTGCTTTTCAGTGTAAGGGACCACAGGGATCTGGGTCTATCTATGCCTGTGAGCCACTGGGCTTCCTGCCCATACAAAAGTTGTCACTTGCGGAAGAAAATCCCAGTCTTCTTCACCCACTTGGCCTCACCGATGCACACAGTAAGGACGTGTGTGTATCAGCAGGTGTGATGGTACACACCTCTAACCTCAGCGCGTGGGAGGGGGAGGCAGGAAGACCAGGAGTTGGAGGCAAGACTGCGCTAAATAGTGAAAACAGCCTCAAGAAACCAAGGGCTGAGGGTGTTGCTCAGCACTGGAGTGCTTACCCAGCATGCAAAGAGGCCTGGGGTTGACCTGCAACACCCCACTCTTCCCCACCCCCAATATGTAGCCTCTGTAGTCCCAGGAAGATCTGTGAAAGCCTAGGAATTTTCCGCTAGCCCGGAATTAGTGCAAGACAGTATCTCAGAATGGGGGGGGAGTGAAAGAAGAGGGGAATGAAGGAAGGGAAGAGAATGTGGGGGGGAAGGGATGGAGCAGGAGGGAGGAAAGGTGATGGAAGGAAGAGAGGGAGAGAAACAGGAAGGGAAAGGGGAGGAAGAGAGGAAGAGAGGGGATGGATGGAGGGAGAGAGGAAGGGAAGGAGGAAGGGAGAAAGGCAGGCAATCCATCCAGTGCCCTGGTAGCTAAGCAGACAGTCATGTTTTTCTTCCCTCTGTAGGAGGTTGTTACCCTAATCATCTTTTCTTTAGAGGCCTTTCTATTTAAAACACACTTTATGACCTTGAAAGGTAAAAACAGATACAAGCTGAAGTCACTCCATGTCTGTGTGATAAAGGAGACCTTACACCAGGGTAAAGGTCTACAGAGACTACAGTCTCTCATGATCGTGTGTGTGTGTGTGTGTGTGTGTGTGTGTGTGTGTGTGTGTGTCCACTAGCAGAGAAACCAAGCAGTCATGTGACATATTAACACCCCCAGGACCATTTGGGAGCATTCTCCTCCCTCCAGTCCCCCCCTTTTAAGTGTCTCCTGCCAGAATGCTACTTTTGGTGAAACACACCAGCAGGAAATGCCTTCTTGAGAGATTCTTTAATGCTTGCAGGTTGGAATAATTGATAAAAACCTTCCCTTGAGCTGCGTGATGAAGACAGCTGAGGTCATCCTCAGAGATGGAGGAACATCCATCAAAGATGGTGACTCTGCTCAGAGGACCATCTGTAATTGATCCCACGCTAGGCTGTGTCTGAGCTGCACATACCGACGGGCTGCTGCGGTTGCCCTGGGCCTACCTGGAGGTGGGCCCACGTGTCTTACAGCCACGCCACACAGCTTCCTCAGCCTTCCCTCTCATCGAATTACTGGGGAAGGGGGAGGAGACCCACCTTATCGCCTTCTTCCACCTCACAGATTTTCTCTAGAGTTGAAGGGTTATATGTGGCAAACTTTTTCCCACTCTTGGATTCATGCCAGTCGTTGTTGATAAATATCTAAGCGGGAAAGGAAGTGCAACAAATTAGGTTTAAATCAAAATCATACAATTGCAACATGCTGAGGATCTTAGGTAACGTCTTGTCTGCCTTCTTCCCCACCCCCTCCCCTGAATGTCACAGAACACAGAATCACACGAAGCAACCGATGGGGAATGGCCTCACAGTTAGAACCAGTTTGACATAATTAATCTAAAGTCCTTTGGAGTTATTTTTCTAAATTATGTCTTTGTTTGAAGCAATAGCATGGGCTTGCCGAGGGACTGATGAAGTCAATGGTTACAAGGAGTATGCACATTGAAGCTGGCCTGGTGGTAGGGCTTTAACAGAAGGGTGGGCAGGCTTGCGTACATACAATCTGCCAGGTCCCGAAAGGCTGTAAGCTATGCACACCCCTTCCTCCTTCCAAGCAAGACCCCCAGGACCTAGGCTTATTCGAGATCATCCCATAACATCTTAGACTTCTTAAGCCACATGGTGGCTTGGTCTCTGAATCTCTTTTACAGAGTTGGAAACCTTGCTGGGGCCTTTTACAAAGTCAGTTTAGGAACAGAGTTAAATATCTGGGTTAGAAACATTTTAGATTATGTTAACGGTGTAGAAAACTGCCATTTATATCCAGAAATAAGTAGTTCACATCTCACGGAGGCCTCAAGTATTCAAAACACAGCTAAAAATACAATATTTAGGAAGAATCAGTGTGCTGAGACCCATTCTACTTACTGGGACTTTTTTCTAAGCTCTAATCACCTTTAGAAGTTGTGGCTTTGGGTGGCTGGAGAGATGGCTCAGTGGTAAAGAGCACTGGCTGCTCTTCGCAGTATCAGGGTTCAATTCCCAGCACCCACGTGGCAGCTCACAAGTGTCTGTAGCGACAATTCTAGGGGATCTAACACCCTCACACAGACATACACGCAGGCAAAGCACAGATACACATGAAATAAAAATAAAAAAGATGTGGCTTTTGGAAAGAACCAGAAATGGAGGGGGCCCATAGCATACAAAGCAGACTCTGATGGCATAAAAGGCCTGCCAGCCACCAGGGCAGTCACAGTTTCTGCAGCTTCCGGAGCCCCATGCATGCAGCCCACCCACAGAAAAGGCAGCCATGTGCCTGCCTGCATTCTGCAGCCTAGACCATATCACAAAGCTATGTAAGTGAGTAAAATGATAATAATAACAATACGTTTTTTCACTGTGAGGCTACTTTCAATGATGGGAGTCAATTCATTTGGGACAGGACAATGCCCTGCTAATAGCAGAGTAACCATGCCCTGAGAGTGTGGCTTGGTTGCCATTGTCTCAGACTTCTCTTGTATATGTTTCGAAGCAGAAGGAAACCAACCCAGGCTACCTCTGGAGTGAAGCTCAAACATCAGGCAAGCTTTGGCCAGACAGGTGAGCAGAGGCTAATCCAGACCCTCAATATGGAGTTTGGAGCTGAGAGCACGAAGTTCCAGTCCTGTATACCCATCCAGCTTCTGGAAGCTCAGAGCCTTCCATGTGAGGCCATGCCCCCAGGGAAGCACGCGAGGAAAAGGCCTGGCTACAATTACAGGTTTATTCTTCCAGCTGAAACCAAACCCAAGAGTTCACTTTTGCCGTGCAGCAAGTAATTACTCGGCAACAGCGAGAAATTAATAAGCAGGGAAGGAAGGAGTTAGTGCGGGGAGGAAAGTGAAGCCAGCAGCAGGCCCATTTGAAGGAAGATGAAATTTCGTCGGTTAGATAATAGAGACTGTCAGTGAAAATTGCTGATTCTAGGTCCTTCCTGGTATCAATTCCAAGGGGGAGGGAAAATGAGAAGGTGGTAAAACAGAGTCTAAATAGCAGGGAATGGAGGCAGATTGCAGTGATCAGATGTCTGCTACATACACCTCATCTCTAGGCATACTCTTTATATATATATGTATATACTTGGCCGTTCCTGACATTGATGCTTAGACCTTGAAAACCATCTACCTCAAATAAAAACTCCAGCCCAGTTGACCTTATTTCTGCATCTCAGAGTTTCTCACTGATTTCTTTATCCTACTAGTAAGTGATCTTGTAAGTGGTTCCCACTGCTGGTTTTCTTTCCACCAAAGCACCTCATAAACACAAATGAAGAAACAGTCCTGGGCGGGGCTCACCACTGATGCTGGCTGGATTGTGAATCATAAGGTACTAGCTGACAGGTCTTCGTTGACGTGTGAACCGGTGGGAACAGGGCATTATTGAGATATAAGGCTAAAAATATACTATGGGGTGTAAATAGATTTCATATTTCACCAATGGACCTGGAAGGCCAGTGCTCGAGACGGTAAGGGTGATAATCACAAAAGAGAATGTTGCTGGCATTATTTCCATCAACTTCCATTGGACTCAGCTAAATTCAAAATGACTGCATTCCCAGGAGATTTGGGGGAATTTCACTTTCATGAAAGAGATGGTAAAACTTTGTATTTTGATGAATTAAGACACTAGAAAGAGAACCTCTGCTGCTGGAAGTGGGTCCCTGAAATGGAAAAGGCTGCCATCCTCTAACGATCAGTACGTGGATGCCCCCCCACCCTCCCTCTCCTCACCAGAATCTCACTCCACATGAACCTGTGCCCAATATAAAAATCTGAGGACAGATGAAGTAGCTTTGATAAAGTCACCTTTCTGAACACTGGTAGACAGTCCTGCCGCGGCCTGGGCTTAAGCCGGTCCTCCATGTTAGAGAAGCCCAGTGAGTCAGGAAAACTGCGCACACCCTTGCTGGCTCGAATACTACACAGCCTACTGTTTGTCCTGGGCCTGGACTCTGCTCTTCAGCATCTTTGGCTCCATTACTTAGTCCAGGGCACCCCGATGGTACCAAGCTCGCCTTGGCCTTTTAATTGTTAGCAGAGGGCTCCGCAGAGGTGCTCAAGGAGCAAGAAGGAAGCAGGCAGAAACAATAAGGGGTGGAAGGTGTAGCCAAACATTCGGCAGTCGGAGAAAGAATCTCCTGGAACCTTCCAAGGATCCCACCTCTCAGTCCCCTGCATCTCCCCAGGTTTCTGTGGCCTCCGTCAGACACACCAGCACCTTCTATCCGCAAAGGGGGAGGGGGACTGCTCAGGATAGCAATCTCTCCCCTGAGGATCTCCCAAGACCCTCTCGTAAAAGCTACACCGATACCTTTAAAGTGTTCAGGGATTCACCTAGAAAGAGGCAAACTTTTCCTGACCTGTAGCCAGACTGTTGTGGGAGGACTCAAGATACTAAGCAAGGGGACAATCCTGTTCATTTTCTGGTGGCTGTGGTGTTTTACAGAATTGTAAAAGCAAAACAAAACAGTCACCACCAGAACAAAAACCCCATCACAGTGTGGGTCTGGAAAGCGAAGCCATTATTCCTCCCTTTCCTAGAGCTGGTGTTGGAATTCTCCCTCTAAGGCTGAGCCAATTGAGGAAACTACATTCAAGAAACTTCCAGTCCTCCCAGGGCTGGGCCTGCCTTGATCACAGGGCCTTCCTTGGGAAAACAGCTCGTGTGAATGTCATGCAATTTATATGTCGGCATGGCCAACTTTGGGAATTAAGTGCCAACCCATCAGGGTCTGAAGGCCACACATAGTGGCCTGCCACTTTGCCTTTTGATTAAAATTATTCCAGAGGGGTAATTGCTACTTTTGAAAATAAAATTGATGAAGGTGGTTTCTAAGCATTGTGACAGCTGGAGTCAGGAACTATGGATAAGATGTGCAAATAAGATGGGTTGAAGTTTCCAGACCCGAAGCCAAAAGCTGCCCTGGATCTGAGGCCCTCCGATGCCCTGCATCCAGCAGGCACAGAGCAGTGCATCGAGAGTTTACAGCTATTCTTCCTCCAGGATGGACTCTGCCCTGTCCCCCCCCACACACACACACATCACCATTGTCCCTGTAGCTCACAGCAGGTGTCTGCCTGGTCCAGCCTCCGGAGAAGGGCAGACGCCACTACTCCTGGGCACTAGCTGTGGCCTTGTTCGTCCTGCAGCTCATCATCAGTGCTCTCCGTCTCCCCTCTCCTGCTGGACTGGTAAACTTGGTTCAGGCTGAGCACACTGAAGGTACCAGGTCCTTCTCCCATTGCCCAGGAAGACCTACTTCCCAGCTGCAGTTCCCAATGGGGCTCATTCTTGAAACTCATCTTTGGGCCCTCAGGTACCTCTAGCCCTCCCACTGCCTAGGGCCTTCAGGTCAGAAATCCCTCTGTAAAGAAGTCATGGCGCGCCCTGTCACTGTTCCGAGCACCAACACTCAGAGCGGGCGATGGCCCACCCAGGCACATCGTGGCCTCTGCAGGCTGCAGCTCCGGAACTTCGGAGCTTGCGGAGTTGTACTCTTGCTCCTCAGATTTTGAGGCTTAGATCTCCGAGCCAGAGGCCGGGGTTCCCACTCTGGGTGCCCCCCCCCAACAAAGTGAAGTTTCCGAGGAGTCAGACCCCACCAGCTAGCTCCCAGTGGACTCCCAGCAGGGTTGTCTCCTGGTCCTGGCTCTCCCTACCAGACTGCTGGGCGGCGCGGGAGTCCGAGGTCGTCGGGTCCAAGAGGGAGCCCTCCTCACCTTGGTGAACTTAACCTCCAAGTTGCGAATGGGTCGCGGCAGGGCAGGAGGTTTCCCATCCGATTGTCCATTTTCCACAGCCCCGTTGGTGGTGGCCATGGCTGGTCTGCTCTCCACGACCCGAAGCGTCCGAGTCTCAGACGCACCGACTCTGCCTGGGCGGTGCGCAGCCTGCTCCGGGTGACAGCTCCGCGCCTTTATGCAGCGCCCCACGCCTCCCGCCCAAGGGGGCCGCCTAATTGGCTGCAGGACAGAGGAAGGGAGGGCGGGCGCTGGAGGGGAGGAGGGGACCGGGCAGCCACAGTCACCCCTCCCGCGGCCCCTGTCCCTGCGGGAGCAGGACGGTCCCGGTCCGACCTCGGACCGGATCCCTCTGTGCGTTGCAGGGAGGCCACCACGCTGCGGGCTTCTGCCGCCCTGGAGGCTGCCCTTCCGCGAGCTCCGAGAGCGACTTCAGGGCGGCCGGGAACTCGCCGGACTTCGGACACCAGTAAGGGCAGGGAGCTGTCGGGCAGCGATCGCGGTAACAGGTCCCTCTCCCGGAAATCAGGAGACTTTTGCCCAAGGCACCTGTGGTCCCCGCTCTTGCCCAACTTTGGCAGGAGTGAGCGCTCGCTCTGGGGCCCTACGCGGAGCCCGAATCTGGGCGTCGTGCGACCAACACCCATCGCTGCCTCAGCTTGGGGTCCAGTAGCCAGATGCCCGAGGTCCATCTGCCCAAGCTAGGGGCGCCAGCGACCGGCGTCCACTCTGAGTCGGGCTGGCAGAGAACTTCTTCATAGGCAGGACGTAAGGCAAAAGCTAGGCGACAGCTCTTATGCACCGCACTTGGGAGCCTTGCAGCTGCTGGTCCTCTGGTCTGCATAAGCACACACCACCTTCAGGTCCAGCCCAAGGGGGACAATTATTTAATATTCAAAATGCATAAATTAAATCTCCGTTTTATAAACGAAAACAACAACAACAACAACAACAAAATCCCCAAACACAAAAGACGTGAGATCTTTGCAGCTGTTTCCTTTTGCTCAGAACTGCCAAGAAGGAGTAGGGATGAAGGCATGTCCACCTCCTCTTATTTTGCCATTTAGGGAGTGCTCCATTTATCGCAGGAACTAGTCTTAAGCCCCATCTGAAACATGGGAAAGACACTCACCCCAGTATAGGGTGGGTTCATCAGAGTTAGGCTTGAACTCCTCACAGGAGAGCTGGTTTAATCCTCAGAGAGGCTCAGCCATCTTTCTGTGAGAAGTCCCACCAGAGTCAGTGAAATAGCTCTCTCTTTTCTAGGCACTTTGTGCCCATTTCTGTTCTTAGTGTCCTTCCTCACCGTAGTGACACTAGGCGTCCTTCTGGATAGCTGAATAAGCTGTGAGTCTTTGGAGAAGCCCCTTTTGAGCTCTGTGTTTTTGGTGGTGGGGAGGTCTTCTGCTGTTATAGGTTAGGCATGCAGGTTAGACTGGAGGAGGAGGGCTGTAGGTCCCCAAATGAATGAGGGCTGACAGACAGCCTCTGCCTTTGACACCAGGGTAACCAACATTCTCCCCTCCTCTCCCCTGCCACTTTCTGGGCTCTCCACCTGTGTGGCAGGCCCCATGACTCCCACCTTGTTCTGTTGAAAACAGCTGGGATGTCTCCCACCAGGGTTCCTGGATGCTGTGTGAGCGTTTTTGAAATAGTGAAAGACTGTCCCTCTGTGCAGTGAGTGGCCAAGGACCAAAAGCTGGCATTTGTCACAACAAGCCTGTCAGAACTCCCATCCCACAAAGTTTACCTGAGATCCTTCCTGGGTTATCAGTTTGTCAGATCTTTAAGAAAGTACAAGCTCCGACAATGAACAGAGGACATTGTATTTATTAAATAATGGCGGGACGGACAGGGTGGCGAATGGGATTGGGAGGAAGAACTCTGCCCAATAGTTGGTACTGTAGGTCAGAGTGGATAATGCAGGTAACTTCAACTCACACCCTCCTGACCCGTGGCGGCCTGCCGCAGAGCCTTTGAGTCAGTAGCAATGCCATAGACAGACCAGCTCACCACTGGCTCTTCTTCTGATTCCCGTGTGACCTTGAGGTCAGAGCAGAACACTCAACTGCAGACCTTCCCTGTAGTAGGCAGTTCCTAAGGAGCAGGTGGGGGTGGGGAGTGAGCTTGGCTCCGGGCTTGTCCTGACTGGAAGGCTCTTCCTCCACTCCCCTCGCTTGTCATTCAGCAGGCAGGGAGAAGCTGAGATGCTCAAGATCCCATTTTACAGGTGAGTAAACAGAGGCAGGTGGATACTTGCCCTGGACATCACTGTCTCGGAGGCACCAAAGGCAAACTGTGGGAGAGGGTGGTGCAGGGTGTGAGGACAGGTTCCTCTTACATTTCTCTGTCACATTTATTCACCCAAGGTGGCCCCATGTCACCTGCTGTAGTTAAAGTAATAAGTGCTTTATGGGGTGATAAAATAGTGGGATTGTCCCTTCTGGCCATGTCTACTAGGAACCAAAGTCATGGCCTTGGCCTCAGGGACTTGGTCCTAGGGATTAAAGGAGGACGGGACTCATTACATGTCTGGGAGCTTCCTGAGCATTGTGGTTGGTGAGGGCCCAGCCTCCCTCCCCCATGCCTGCCTCAAACCCAGCTGTGTGTTCGTGTGTTGGACACTGGAGCTCTGAGCTTTCATTTCCTTTCCTGCAACCCCTTCCCACGTCCCAGCGCTTGGGGAGGCTCAAGCAAGATAACACTGGAAAAACTGTAAAGTATACGTGTCTGTTCTTAATTCTCCCATTTTTCCCCCTAGAAAACATTTCTCCTCAGAAGGTGAACGCTGCCCTCCTTTCTTCCTGGCTCAAGGGGCTTTCCCAGCCTACACTTTCCTGCTGTCTTATTGTTTTTGTATTCAGGTTGGTGGTGCTGGCACTGTCTGAGGCTTGGCTTCTTGGTGGGTGTGCCGCGTGATCCGGGACTATGTTGAAGGCTTGTTTGTGTGGTAAACATATGACAGAAATAATCACCATTAGGGCAGCACCCTCATGACCGCTCACAACTGTCTGTAACTCCAGTACCAAGTGACCAGACACCCTCGTCTGGTACCTATGGACATTGCACATATATACACACAGATAAAGCACTCATGCACATATAAATGAACGAATGAATTAATGAATGAATGGATGGATGAATGAATGAATGGTTTTACAAAGCATGGGGACAGGAGGAATGGCTGAGTCACTAAAGCTCTTGCTGTGTTGGCTGGAGGGCCTGAGTTGGCTCCTTAGCACCTGTGTGGAAAAACTCCTCATGGCAGTGTGTGTATTTCCAGCTCCAGATGGGTAGATGGAAACAGGCCTATCCCTGGAGCTCACTGGCCAGCCAATCTCTCTGAAGTGGCGAGGGATGAGAAAGACATCTTATGTTAACTTCTGGCCTCCACAGAAACACACATGAAGGCAAAAACCGAGATAAAAGAGAGGACAGATAATGTGTCTCACGTCGCAACCTAATTCCGTTTTCCAACGTGTTTGTGGGAGATGTTGAAATCTATAATAAATGTAGCTAATAATGGGTAGGACATAACCCACACTTGATTTAACTTTATCTCAAGTCTACTGTCTGAGCCTCTATGAGGATGCCTGGGCCCTCTGGGGGTCCCAGGCATCCCTGAGCTGTTCCTCCTTGCCCAAACCACTCATCTCACCCAGAGACTAGAAGGCTGACCCAATCCAGGTCCATGGGCGTACGCTCTGAGAGGCTTCCCAGAGAGCTAAGCTTTTCCAACAGGACGATCTCTGATAAAGTGAAGACACTGTGATGGTCAGATGGCCGCTGGTGGCTCAGGATAGGTAACCCAACCTCAGTTTTCTGGGCTATCCATGGGGGTGGCGGTGTCCCAGAACTAAGGCAAGGTTGATTTCACTCTGAGTGCTTGTTTACCATCATCACTGAAGCATTGTCTACATTTTTGTGGGAACTGCCCAGTGTTGACTAGATTCATTTGAACAGGCAGCTTCTTACCATGCAAATTTTATAAATTATGATTCACTAAATCTTCCTCTCCCACATTACAACTTTGTGGGAGCATGCGAATGAATCTGTTTTCCTATGCTCTTCTAGTTTGCTTTTGCTGTGACAAAAATACTTTGAGCAAAAGCAGCTTAGGTGAGTGAGGAAAGGGTCCGTTTGACTTACACTTCTAGGTCACAATCAGCCATTGAGGGAAGTCAGGCAGGAACCTAGAGGCGGGAACCAGGGTTCATTCAATGGTGTATCCTTTCGTATACAGCCCAGATTCACTTGCATAGGGATGGTGCTGCCCACAGCGGGTTGAGCCCTCACACGTCAACGGCCAATGAAGACAGTCTTTCACAGACACAGTCAACTGATGAGAAAGGCTGAATCTCAGCTCATACTTCCAGGATCCCTCGGGCCTGTTTTCTTCGGTCTGTGGTGATGTTTCACAATTATGGCAGGAGCGGGTGGCAGAGTTCACCTCACACTGACTGAAAACGAGAGGGAGAGAGGGGGGGAGGGAGGGAGGGAGGGAAGGAGGGAGGGAGGGAGGGAGGGAGAGGGAGAGGGAGAGAGAGAGAGAGAGAGAGAGAGAGAGAGAGAGAGAGAGAGAGAGAGAGAGAGAGAGAGAGAAGGAAGTTGCCAGCTGCCAGGGCCCTTTAGAACACACCTCCAATGACTAACTAGCTTTCCATTAGGCCTTGCCTCCTAAAGGCATCACTATAGGATGAAAACCAGAGCTGTAACACATGGGTGTTTGGGGTTCATTACATATTCAAACCACTGTAGCCACGATCATGAGAGTGAGAAGCAGCCCACGAAGAAGGAAGGTGCCGTGACTAGCACAGGCAAGGCTAAGACTGAAGGGCTACCCCATTGCCTCTTTCAGCTGCTTTCTCCTCAACCCTGATCGCATTTCTTGATCCCAAGGAAATGTCTTCCACACAAACACACATTAACCTGAGGAAAATCAGCCCCAACCAGGCAGAAGCAAAAGAGAACCAATCACATAAAAACAAAGAGAACACATTACAATGTTTGTGGGCCTGGTCTTGATGAAACCACACACACACACACACACACACACACACAGAGAGAGAGAGAGAGAGAGAGAGAGAGAGAGAGAGAGAGAGAGAGAGAGAGAGAGAGAGATGTGTGTGTCTGACAGCCAGCACAGGGCTTCTGGAACTGTCCTGTCT